ATTTGCATATGTGTGGATCATAGTGCTTTCACATGGTATAGCAACGCCCCAGCAGAGCAAGGCCAACAACAGCGCTTACTGCATAATTTCCCTCTCATCTCAAATGCACTCTCGCTTTTTTATACCCTTGCTAAGTTAAGAGTATTTTTATTTTTTCGCAGGTTTTGTAACGCTTAGAAGGAAAATCTCTGAATGAAACTTTGCAAAGATTTATATTTTTTTGTTGCAGGCAGTGTATAGATTATTTGGATAGATATATCTACTATATCCCATAAGAACAATTTGCATAAAACCGCTTCTGAGACGTGTGTCTGTAAGAGCATTTAATATTCGACGTAACGGAATAAGCGGTTTTGTGTTGTTGTTGCTTTACATTTAGCATTTTACGTGAGAGCAGAGCAGAGCAAGTGCTTGCTGCTGCAGCAGCAGCAGCAGCAGCATTGACGTTTTACTGACATTGAGCGCTTAACGGTTTCTCTTAATGGCCGACGTCAAAATTTGCTTTTGCTGCATTTGCTGTTCTAATTTTACATGAAAGCTTTTATTGGTACTTGCGCATGCGTGTTTTATATTTTTGGCCAGTGCTGGTGGTTGATGCCGGTCAATGTACACTTTCGGCCGAGTTTTTTTTTGTCTCTTGGCTTCTTTAGCTGGTCTGCTCATGCGGAAACGGGTCGTATGCGCAATGCGTGCGCATTTAATAAGACGCAATTGCAATTTTGCATACTTTTTATACACACACACATACATGCTTACATACACACATAGGCAACTATGTATGGCATGTGCTGGTACGTGTTGTTGTTCTGCTCCTGTTGTATTTGCAAGTTTGTTCAAAATCTAACGGTAACGGCGGCACGTACTGTGAAAAACAACACTGAAATTCAAGAATACACAAAATATCTGTAGACATAAATATGCATATATGGCATATAGACATATGCTTGTATAATTCGCATGTCTCAAGGCAGAACGAGCAAGAATGTGAATAAAAAAGTTGCTTTGGCATTTACTAAAGTATGCATTTCATTAGATTAACATTTTTTTTGTATCATTTTTCGCTTTACAGTTGTTATTGTGGTCTAAAACAGCTCCAGATCCAGCCTGGACCCAGTCTCATTCATAAATACAAACACACATGTTCGTGTGTGTGTGTGTGTGTGTGTGCGCGCGCGCGTTTGCATATGCTACGTATTTCACAACCTGAATTAAAAAAAAAAGAAAGAAGAAAAAAAAGCAAAGACCACGCCACTTGCCCATGTCAACGATCTTATTTATGCTCCTATCTCATTCTTGTACCTGGCCAGCGCAGCCATCTACTCATCTACCGCTTCAAATGTGTCCGCGCGAACTGCTGGATCGGTTTTTTTTTTCTCTTGTCGGTTTTTTCGGCAGCCAAAAGCAAACTGGTTCTCGTTCTATTAGATAGCATCATCGGCATCATCTTCAGCTTTATCGGCGCTCGCGCTCTGATGTGTCTAGACGAGCTTGGTCCTTGGCAACAGAGCGAGCTGAAAGGAGGGCCAATGTCTGCTGGGATCGTTGTGTTGCTGCTGTTGTTGCGGCAGGCGTGTTCCTTGAACTAAGGGCGAAAGTGGTGTGCGTCACGTCCGCGTCTGACTTTGCCGGCGCATTCATACAATTTGCCGTTTATTCTTTGCCATCCTCCTTTACCGGTCTGCTAAAGAATCTTCTCATTTCCCTTTTTTTTCGGTTCTGCTCAAGTTCAAGAAACTCTGCAACTGGCCAAGGAATGCTCGCATTTCTAATAAGCAACAGGCCGTTAACGACAAAACCGACATTTTTATGCCCTTTCTAGCGCCGAATTAATTAATAAGAAACGCGTGCGCAGAGACAGACGCACATGACTAAGATGTATTCAATGCCACAAATCGATGAGTAACACAACAACAATGTCCATCAATGGAATTGACCAAAAAACGCAACTTAGTCATAGCCAATATTAGTTTTGGCCAACATAAATCAAGTTCAGCGCATTTGAAATCGAAAGTATTTCAAAAGAAACGGCCAACAGGCGTGCTGACAGACACGTCTGCTGTAGGGCGCCACTTGCGCAGCCAATGCTGGCGCCATCTAGCGTTAGTTTGGGCAAGCTCAAACAGCTGTTTTGCATTCATTTTAGGCCGCGTTTTTTATATAAATAGGAAAAAAACAAGTTATGCTCGGCGCAAAAACACGACATTTCGTGCGTAAAACCAATCTGCCGGGCAACTGGAGCTGGTGCCGCTGGAGCAGCAGCAACCAAACGCCAGAGGCAACAGCTACACAGCCGGATGCGAGCGCAGCCAAGCGACAGCAGCTGCTCAATGAACTCGCGGAGCCTCTCCAGAGCGCCACCCGTCCGGCCGTTGATCCCAAGGAGACGAGCGTGATGCTGTTTCCCGGCCAGGGCACACAGTACGTGGGCATGGCCAAGGATTTGCTGCGCTTTCCCGGCGCTCGTCGCATCTTTGAGCTGGCCAACGAGGTGCTCAAATACGATTTGCTCAAGATTTGTCTCGAGGCTCCCCGCGAGAAGCTCAATCGCACCGAATACGCACAGCTAGCCGTGCTCGTCTCGTCGCTGGCCGCCCTGGAGCAGCTGCGCGAGGAGCGACCCAAAGCCATCGAGAGCTGTGTGGCAGCCGCCGGCTTCAGTCTGGGCGAGATCACAGCGCTTGTCTATGCGGGCGCACTGCCCTTCGACAAGGCGTTGCAGCTGGTGCAGGTACGCGCCAATGCCATGCAGGCTGCCTGCGATCTGGCGCCAGGCGCCATGGCCATGACACTCTACGGCCCGGACACCAATCTGGGCGAGGCCTGCGCCAAGGCGCAGCAATGGTGCCTGGACAACGGCGTGGAGTCACCCTATTGCGGCATAGCCAACTACATGTATCCGCACTGCAAGGTCGTGGCGGGCAACGTGCAGGCCCTCGAGTTTCTGGAGCAGAACGCCAAGGCGCTGAAAATACGCCGCATGAAACGTTTGGCTGTCAGCGGAGCCTTCCACACGCCGCTCATGGAGAGCGCCGTGGAGCCGTTTAGCAAGGCTCTAAAGTCGATACGCCTACAGGATCCGATCATACGCGTCTACTCCAACGTGGACGGCAAGCCGTACAGAAATGCCACGCACATTCTACGCCAGCTGCCCAAGCAAATTGTGCGACCCGTGAAATGGGAGCAGACGCTGCACCAGCTCTACGAGCGGCAACAGGGCGTCGACTTTCCGCGCACCTTTGAGTGTGGTCCCGGCAAGGGCCTGCTGCAGGTGCTCGAGAAGGTCAACGCCAAGGCTGCCCAGACGGCATTCAATGTGGTCGCGTGATTTAATAATAAAAAAAGTTTCGATATTGCTTTATATAAAAAAATGTATTCTCTTGGCTAGCGGAAGAAGGAAAAGAACAGAAATGCGACACCAGTTGAAGGGGGCGTGGCAGGCGCCTCTAGGCTTTGTAATCTCTTGTGCTCATGCGATGCGCGAAGGCGGCGCCTTTGTTTTTGCGGAATCTCTCGAACGGATCGTTCAGGTTGTTGCCCACGCCCTAAAAGTGCAAGAAACAGAGAAATGTTAATTGCATTTCAATTTACAATATTTATTTGTATTTGAATAAGTTATAAAATTAATCATATGGAGATCTTCTGGCGATTACCTTGTACATGTCCTTGCGATCGCGCACCTCACCGCCCGAAATGGGCGTGTCGATGCCTTGGCTTTTGGAGCCGAGGCCGGTGCCCGTGCCGCCCCAGCCCATCTTCATGAGCATCTGATGGCCCTTATTTGTCTCCTCAATGAACTCCTGCGGCTTGGCAAAGCTGCTGCCACTGCAAGAAAGAGAAGAGTCAGAAGATGCATTAGGTTTAGGTGTTGGGATTAGCGGAGCACTCACAAGAAACTGGGCGGCGTGGGCGATCTGTCGCGTTCCACGCGTCTGGAATTGTTTGCATTTCCGCCATTATTGCTGTTACTATTATTGTTATTATTATTATTGTTGTTGTTGTTGTTGTTGCTGTTGCTGCTGGTGTTGCTATTGATCCGCTCCGCGCGATTCTCACGCGTGTTACTGTCCCGTTCGTGTCGAGGCGAACGATTGCGCGCCTTGCGATTGCTGCCGCCGCCACCACCACCCGCTCCTCCGCCTCCGCCAATCCTATTGCGCTGCGGCGGCGGCGTATTCGCGCGTTCCTCGGAACATGACTTGGAGCGTGAGCGGGATTTATTGCGACTGATGGGCGTGCGGGAACGTGAGCGACTTCGACTTTTGGAGCTGAAAGCAGGTTGGATTTATATAAAATAATTGTTGAATCGAATGCTGATTAATCTTGACCCACCGATAGCAGCGCTTGTTGCTCTTCTTGACTTTCTCCAGCAGAATGGGACTGGGCGAGCGCGACTTGTCGCGCGTGCCATTCTTGATTTCCTCCTCCTTTTGCTTGCGCGCCGCATTCTTCACCTTGTAGTACTCGTACAGGCCCAGCTTCTCCCAGCCCTCGCTGTAAGTTGCAAACAATTAGTTAAACTCGCTTGGGATAATTTTAAATTAGCTACGTACTTGTCCCGGGGACGATCGTGCGAGGGCGCCGCATAGAAGGCATTCAATGCGTTTGTGAGGCGTTCACTTTGCGGCGCCGGCGCTGGCAAACGTATGTCCGCCGGATCGAGCGGCTTGTAGTTGTAGTCCTCCAGCCGTATGAGTGGAACTATTAGACCGGCTGGCAGATCATAATACGGCGCTGTCGGCACTTGCGGCTCCTGCGGCAGCATGGACTGCTCAGCGGCGTCTAGATCACAGTCCGTATGGGGCAGCTGCTCGCCCAGCGTCTCATCCGGCCGCTGCTGCAGCACAACATTTATGGCCGCATTGAGGGCGCCCATGTCTACGTTAGGGTCAACCGCTTGGCCCAGATTATTGAGCGGCATTTGTGCAAAGGGCGGCGGCTGCTGCTGCGCCTGCTGTTGATGATGCTGGTGTTGCAGCTGCATCTGCTGCTGCAGCTGCTCGTCGGGATGTCGCTGCTGGTGCTGCTGATGATGCTGCAGCTGCATTACCGCTTGTATCGCTGCATTCAGCACACCCAAATCCACGGGCGGATCGCCAGCTGTGACTGGCAGCTGATTGTACTGGTTGGGCGGTGGCTGCTGCGGCTGTTGCTGCTGCTGCTGTGGCGGCACCTGACCATGAATGGGCGCTGGAAAACCTGGCGGCGGCTTTGACATGTCCGGAATGAAAAAGTTTGGACCGCGTGGATCCACATAGTGGTTGCCCGGCGGCGCCTGCTGCTGCGGCTGCTGTTGTTGCGGCTGTGGTTGCTGCTGGTAGCCCGCGAAGATGTTGTTGCCCGGCTGCGCATGATCGTGCGTTGACGACGACGACGACGGCGGCGGCGGCGTGTGCATATGCTCCTGATCCGCGCCGGGCATGGCAATGCGTTGCGCCATCAGAGAAGGTATGGATTTCGATTGGGGCGTGCCAGGCGCTTGCTGCTGCTGCTGCTGGAGCTGCTGCTGCTGCTGGAGCTGCTGCTGTGCCTTTTGTGCAACGAGAATTTGTTTTTCGAGCTGCAGCTTCTGCTGCTCCAATTGGGCTATTTGTTGCGTGGCATGTTGCATAAAAATCTGATGCTGTTTCTGATAGCTGTAAGCGGGAATATTGTTTGAATTGCATTACAATTTAAACCACTCTCCCACTCACTTGTCCAGCGTGGCCTTTGTCGTCTGCGTATATTTCGCGACAATTTCATGGTGCGTGTTCTGCAGATTCGTTTTGTACTCCTGCATGGATGAGTCCGGCGATTGCAGCTTGGAGATGACGCACGCATCAAAGAACTTGGCCTTCGATTCCCACAGCGAAAGCAGCTTGGAGAGCTTCTGGCGCTGATCATTGTTGGCAACTGGACAAAAAGAAATCAAGCAATTAGTATGGCGTTGTAAATTGGAAGTAGGCTCTGCTTGGATGCTTACTCAAGTCCGCGCTGCAGAACATCGGTATTACGACATTCTCGAGGCTGTTCTTCAAATCGCTGATATTTTTGCGCATGCTGTAAAATAGATTTTGGCGCTTAAACAAACGTGTGCCTGCGTCTCGCAAAGCTCTAACGATCTCAGCTGGACGGGAGCCCAAAGCTAGTTCGTCTGTCCGTCCGATTGTCCGTCTGTCTGTCTGCGCTTGAACTAAGCAACAAAGTTTTGCCTTGCCTATAAACTATTATTTCTTTTTATAATACCCTTGCAGAGTGTTATATAATCTGGGCCTAAGGTGTAGTTCCTTTCTCGATTCACGGTTTGAACCAAATCCCTTCCAGCTTTACACATCTTCTGTTTACTTAATTCCCATTCAATTTTTTACTCTACATTTGCCCGTTCTACCTGAAAATAGTGCAAATATTAACTATTTTCATATAGAAATTGCGGGCTATATTCTCTAATTTTCTATATATATAATTTTCTATAATTCTCTAATAGCATCAGCGACCGATGGAGATGTTTTATGGTTCGTTTAATAATTAAAAACAAATGGGAATTCCGAGTTCCAACAGGTTGAGTTCCCATCCAGCCTTGATTATAATTTTGTCGGGGAATATAAAAGTGAATTAAAATTATATTCATATCGGACAACAGTACCATAAAAATCCTATAGTAACTATTAGTTGATATCCCAGCCTAAAGTCTGCAAGGGTTTTAAGTCTTTGTCTTTCTCAAATAATTTTCGCTCTGTTACTTAGTTTGTTTATTTTTCGGTTTGTTTTTTGCGAACTTACCAATGATGGAGTATATCATTAACTAAATATATAAGATGCAATTTTTGCTGAAACGTTGAACCATTGAGCAAAGCCCTAAAAATAAATTAACAAACGAAAAAAACATATTTTTTTGTCCATATTTCTTTTTTCTGTACGCACAACAACATTTGCCAAAAGTGTTTGTTGTGTGTGTGTGTGTGTGTGTGTGTGTGCAGTATTGTATGTGTGTGTGTGTCTGTGTGTTTATGAGCGTGTGTGTGTGTGTGTGTGTTTGTTGTGTCTCAACTAAGCAACTGTTTATTGCCGCCTAAAACTACGCTCAAGACTCAAATAACTATTGAGTCCCGGTTGCATCTTCAATATGTCTCTCTTTTAAAACGAATCAACGAATTAATTTTTATTTTTTTTCTTTTTTTTTCTGAACTCAGCGAGCAGGCGACTCTCGCTCTCACGACTCTCGCTCGTCTCGCACGCTCTCTCTTGCACAAGACATCGCTCTCTCGCTTCGTTTGTAATCGCATTTCATGCGTTTCGATTCGATTCGATTTGGATTTCGTTTCGGTTCGTTTCGTTTCGTTTTGTTTCTCGTTAAACACTCGTTGAAAGAAAGAAACACATGGTAATTAATAAATGTTGAAAGATCATTAATTATATATAAACTGAGGCATACTTCTTTAAAAGATATTGTAAAACGACATTGATTTTTGCGCTGTCGGTTGAATGCTGTAAAATCCAGTTCTTGCCTAAAATTGCAATATCAAACGGGTTACTCATATTGTCATTGTCTCTGGGCAAATTAAGTTTATGAAAATGTTTATCATTTTGTTTTTTTTTTTTAAAGTTTAAATGGTTTTTTAATTATTCAAATTTGGAATATCGTTTGCAGTTTGTCTAGCTCAAAAAGTTAACTGACGTAAACGCATATGTATATGTATATATTATATTTAGTTAGATTTAAATACTAGATTTAGGCACTCGCTTTAGCTAGTTCTATATACATGTATATATATATTTACCTGCTGAGATGCTGTCCTTGGTGCAGGACTCAATGATCGGCTGCAGGATGCCATCGAATTCCCTCAACACAATGCCCTGCTCGGTGGCCAATTGGTCCAGCTGCGTCGTCTGGGCCGCCGCCATCGCATCGTCGATTTGCTTTGTCTTTTGTGTCATCAGCGCCTAAAGGTTTCACATTCGTTTCATTTCATTCGTTTCGGTGATTTGACGTTGGTTTATTTTTGGGCGCGCGCATAAAGATTTTTATTTTTGTGATTTGTTTTCATATTTCAAGAGCGACAATAAACGAGGATTTCGTTTTGTTTTTATACACATTTTTTTGTATTTTTTTTTTTTTTGTCAGTTGGTATGAAGAGTGGTTTCGTATTATTTTAATTTTTTTTTTTTTTTTTTTTTTAGGTTTTATGTTTCAAAAAATATACAATAAAGCAAAAATTTAATGTAGCATTGTAAAATTGTTAATTCGATAGTTAAAAAATTAATATAAACATATTGTAAATCGTGATTCATTAAGTTTAAATGCAGTTTTATAAAAGCTGAAAGTATATATTATTATATATACACATAATATATTCGGGCCAGACGAGGGACTGTAGAATAATACCACACACAGAATTAATAAAAAAAAAAAAGGAAATTATGCCCCGATGCAAAGCAGGAGAGGAAGACCAGACCAGTTGAAGGTATATACAAAGCCTTGGTATAGCAAGATTTCAGAAAATTTGACAGGTTTCAATTAGTAGAAGGAATTTGTTGTATATTTTTGAAAATATAAAAGTTGGGGTTTAATTACATACTATACAATAATATATAATATGGGACATCAGTTAAATTTCGAATGATAATATGCTACAAAGAGCACAACATAGCATTAACCAGAAGGCAAAGTCATGTTCGTGATGCCGAAGATTCACAATCTTGCGGACATATATCAGATTTGCGATTTATTTAGCTATTTTAGTTGTGTTCCACGTGGTTAGGATATTGCTTCTCTGAGAGAAACATTCTGAAGCTCCTAGTTGATGAATTTAGTCACGATATCATAAAAAAACACAATCGTTTTTTGCATAAAAACTATATAAAGAAACTATGTGCTATAATAAAACGATCCGATAAATGGCCAAAAGGGGATTAATGCAATGATAACGTCAGAGCCGAGACTTTTTGGCATAGATATGAGATAAGCAGACATGTGCTGGACAGTTGTTGCTGGATCAAGAAGATTTGTATAGATATACATAATATTTGTTTAACTGGCTCGAGGTACGTGGATTAAATTTTCAACAAAATATTTCGGTTTTACACGTCTGCGCTCTTTTGACGTGGAGTTTGAAACATCCATAATGTTATATATGGAATATAATATGTACAGATGTCTACATCAATAAGTTACACATTTAGTGAGCAAGTTAAAAAGGTGTAAATACAATCTTAAAATACGAATATTCAAGTAAATGTCAAGTGGTTGAGAAGGAATCAGAATGGAATGACCTGAAAATGAACTGAATAGCAGGATCTTATATTGAATATATAACCATAGATAATGGTTACTTTTCTCTAGGCATTCGTAAATGGGAACAACAATGCGAACAAGTGTCAAAGGACCAAAGCCAAAGGCATGTTTTCTGAGAATAAAGTGGAAACGTTTTGGTGGAATCTCAATTAAAGTAAAACAGTGTTGACAATTCAGCTATTTGCAAGCTTAACTTGGCTGTTTTCAGTGGAAATTTCGCAACCCTGTTTATTGGATTCAGCTACTTTTTGAAGCGGCAGTCAACACTGAAGTAAAGCTGCTTTCCTTAGGGAGAACTCTCACGAGATGTTTGGCAAAAATAAATATATGTATGCATGTTTATAGAGGAGGAGTCACACCTGTGAAGAGAGAGCAAATAGTATAGTTATTTACCGTATGCTGTGCGGAAAGATTCGCATCCGATTGTTTAATCTGATCCCGCAGCGTATTCTGTTGCATTTTGATCGCATCCAATTGTGTGGCCAGACTCATGGCAAGCGCACTGCCGTTCGCTGACTGGGGATTTGCTGGCGCTGGACCTGGTCCGGTTGCCGGACTCGCACCTGCATTGGGCGGCCACATATGCTGAGATTTCTGTTGCGCCTGCTGCATGCTGTCCTGGACATTGTCATGCATGTTCGGCGTGAGCTGCTGCTGCTGCGACTGCTGCTGCTGCTGTTGCGTCGCGTAGTGTGCGTGAGTTGGCGGCGGTTGTTGCATATAGAGCGCACCTGTGGGCATGCCGCCCTGTTGTTTCAGCACTAAAGAGAAACATTCAGTCAGAATGGAATAAATGGAAATTTTGTCGCTTACGTACTTGCCTGCTCCGCTGCCACACGGAACTGATAGTAGTTGGCGAATTCGCCGCCATAGAGAAATTCAAACTTTGGATTATTCTGTTGCTTTTGTTTGGTAATTGCTTCGAACTCGGGTCCATTGCGTGCCACAAATTCGGCCAATTTATCAATTATATTGCGTAAACTTGCATCTGTAAAACAAGTAAAACAGCACATCAATTTTTTTTTAGCTTCGTTCTGCAACGTGCGTATGTGTGTGTGTGTGGGCAAAGATTTTGCAAATGTTCAGCTTACCTCTTGGGGGTTGAACATCCATTTTGCTTGGTATTTTTTCTTTTTACAAACTAGCTATTTTGTAGGCTAAGGCTTAAATAATCATAACTTTTAACAATTAATTCATCACTTTTTGCGGCGACCGCAAAGAATTTTTATCAGCACTCTTCTTCTTGCTTCTATTCAGACGCCATATTTAGAGCTGGAGCGTTTGCAATTCGCAGTTTATCGATAGGTTTCGATAGAGAGAAGAATCTTCGAGCGAAAATCGAGTAACTCGCTTTTCTTTTTGTAAAAGCTGCCAGTCATTTTGCATTTTATTCAATTTTTGAGAAAGTAAACATGGCAGTACGTGTTATTAACGACGAATCACATTTCCAAGCGGAGTTAGCTCAGGCAGGAGTGCGCCTGGTTGTTGTGGACTTTACAGCAACATGGTGCGGACCCTGTCAAAGGATTGCGCCCGTGTTTGACACGTTTCCCAGTAAATATCCCAAAGCCATATTCCTGAAAGTGGACGTGGACAAATGTCAGGACACAGCCGCCGGCCAGGGTGTCTCTGCTATGCCAACTTTCATATTCTATCGCAACAGGACCAAAATCGACCGTATTCAAGGCGCCAATATAATGGGTTTGGAAGCCAAAATAGAGGAGCATATTGGCACGGGCGTCGCCGAGGAGGCCGGCGAAGACTATGGCCAGGGATTGGTAAGAGCTTCACATTCATTCATTCCAAATGTTTTTCACAACATGACTCACACACACACACCCACCCACACAGATGGAGCTCAATACGTTCATCTCGAAGCAGGAGTGCGAGTGCTTGAATGAATCGGACGATCACAATCTAAAGCATGCTCTGGCGTCGGCTGGTGGCTTTCTGCAGTCCGACTGCGATGAACAGCTCATTTTGTCCATAACCTTTAATCAGGCCGTCAAGATACACTCGCTGAAGTTCAAGGCACCCCCACAACTGGGACCCAAGGAAGTCAAGCTGTTCATCAATCAGCCGCGAACCATTGACTTTGACATGGCGGAATCCATGAGCAGCGTGCAGGATCTGACGTGAGTTTTGCCAAAATTCAGCTAATTGGAAATGTTAACCTTGTATTTGGTGACTTGCAGCCTGGGCGAGAAGGAGCTGGAGAACGGCAACCCCGTCAATCTGCGCTATGTGAAATTCCAGAATGTGCAAAACATACAGATCTTTGTGAAGAACAATCAATCGGGTGGCGACATAACCCAAATCGATTATATTGGCTTTATAGGCTCGCCCATTATAACAACCAAGATGACGGACTTTAAGCGTGTCTCTGGCAAAAAGGGCGAAAGCCACTAAATCGGTTAGCTTGAATATTAAATTGAAGTTCTAGTGTTTTCCCCATCTTATTAACCAGGCTTGCTCCTTGTACTTTCGACTTAAAATTAAGCAAAAAAAAAAACTTATAGAAATGCATTAACAATGACAACTAACAAATAAAACAAATCAAGCTGGCAATTATTAATATCGCCCATCACAGGCTGCTGTGCGTTCGGCCATCCAGCTCCTTGTTGAGCATTTGCCAAGCGCGCTCCGCCTGCCGCTGCGTAAAATCAAAGTCCCACTGCGAGCTGAATATCACTTGGGACTTGGCCACAATATCAGCGTTGCTAACTTGACTGGCGAGACGTTTGCGCGCCTCGTCCTCGCTGAGGTTGTTGCGTTCCATGACACGCTTGATCGCCTCCTCGGGCGGCACGATCATGGACCACACCTCATGGCAGTTGGGCTCCCAGCCTGCTTTAAGCAACACAGCTGCCTCCAGCACCACCACCTTGGGCACCTGGTTAGCGGCACGCAAGTTAGCCAGTCGTCTATTCACCTCCACCATCAGCTCCGGCCAAACGATGGAGTTCAGCGTGTGCAGCTCTTGCGCATTACCAAAGACTCGCGGGCCCAGCTTGGTGCGATCGATGCGCCCATCAGCGGCAAGTATCTCGTTGCCAAAGTGCTTAAGGATCTTCGCATAGCACGTCTGACCCGGCTCGTATACATCATGCGCCACCTTATCACAGTCGATGACATGGGCGCCCATGTCGCCCAGACGCTCGGCCATTTTGCTCTTCCCCGAGGCAATGCCACCTGTCAGCCCAATGATATACGGACGCACGGGCAGCTGAGGACGCGCCTGCTCAAAATAATTACAGTTGAGAAACTTTTGAATGCAGTGAAAAAGTGGGAGGAAGTTACCTCTGGCTGGCGCCAACGTGTGCCCAGCAGATCGATGCGCGTGTTGCTGGAGCTGACCTTTGACTCGTGTATGCCATCGTGTACATTGCTCTCCACGATATCAATTGCGAAGATATCCAGCTGACGCAACTGCTTGCTGGCCCTTATCTCGTTGACCTTTTGGCCGCCACGCAGCGTCTCAGCACTCACGACAATCATGTCCATGTCCGGATCATGCTGAGTCGGCCCAAATGGATCGTCGATGGGAACAATATCATATTGCAAGGTATTATCAATGTCTAAAAGGAATTCGCGCAATTCAGCGATACGCTGCTCCACGGGCAATATTAGTTCCGGCAATATTTTGCCTAAAAATAGTTGCAAGTGATAAGTGATAAGGGAGATAAGAAAAGTGCCCGTTCATGTTAGTTTACCCTTAGTCATAGCGGCCGTGGTGACGCCCACCACAAGACGCTTGCAGGCGCGGAGCACGGCCTGTGTGAGGAATATCTTATGGCCAATATGGATGCGATCGAAGGTGCCGCCCAATACCACTGTCGGGTACATCTGATGACTGGCCGGCTGGTCTTCTGCTTCTGGAAGCTGTTCGTCCGTACTGTTGGAGTCCCCCAGAAAAATTGTTGGCTGACTTATGTTAAGCGCACTGCGCAGCCTGTCGCAGAGCTCTGGCTGATGTGTGTCCGAGAATATCATATCAACGGGCTTGCATAGCTGCAGAGCGCTGGCCGCCTGATGCTCCTTGAGCGGTGCCACCAGCACGCGCAGATCCACCTTAGTGCCCACGTAGCTGCTGCTGTCCGCATACAACTGTGATATAAGACGACCCCAAACAGGTGGCGGCGGCGTTGACGCTGGCACATTTAAATGTATGTACAGCGAGTGAACGTATTTTTCAATGCTGCGCAAGGATTTGCCCAATTGTTTGATGTTGGACACGACCAGCAGTCCAGTTGAAGCCATCTTATTGTGTTTCCTTCGGCTGAGCCAGTTAACCGCGGTACTCTGTGTACTTTGGACTGGGATTGTTATTGTCGTACCGATATATTAATATAATCGATAAATGTTGCTCGTTTTGGACAAGTCTATCGCATTTCAATCAGAGCTGCCACCTAGCAAAACTTTTGGTACCAAAAATTGATCATTTTCGAATATAGCTACGATTTGTATGCAAGATATATTTTTAAAAGTTTAAAACAGCGAATTTAATTTAATATAAAAGCATACATAATACATAAACTTAATTTTGTAACAGGCAGTGAATTAGGAAACTTTTATTTGATAATGAGCCCGTGAGTAACTAATGTACCAGTTTGTACCAAACCATTGTACCAATCGTGGTAGCCGTGATTTCAATACAAATCTATCGATAATTAAATATATATCGCAAAAGTGTCTCATGTGTAGTACACCCACCACTGAAGAAAAAAGTTTTTCACGAATTTTGTAGCATTTTTAATATTAATAAAAAAAAGCGGCGCAAAATGTCACGACAAGCCTCCAGATTGGATGCCAAGAAAGTGGTAAGTTAACTACTGAAAGCAGGCTATAGATCACGACTCCCGGTCGCTAGATTGTAAGATTAGTTATTGTTTGGTCTAGTCTAAGTACGAACCAATTGAAGTGCCACCCACCCTCAAAATCGGCTTCACATTCGCTTTTACAGTAAGTGAGGGCGTGAGAGGGAAACGAGGCTAACAAAATAGCGCAACCTGCGCGCTATGGATAACCATTTTAGCAGTAACCGCACAACAGCCACAGCAACAAGAATGAGCAACGCTGCCGCCAGCAGCAACAACAACAACAACAGCAATGCAAACAGCGCGACGGGCAACAATGTTAATACGGCAACAGTTGGCGTCGGGAATGCCGGACAGCCTATACAAGTGATACCGATGCCGATGCTGCCGGGTGGCGCAGCTCAGATCATAATTGGCCAACAGCCGCAGGCACCGACCGGCGGGGGGGCGACGGGCGGACTGCAGCCGCAATTGATACCCTTGCAGGCGAATCAAATAATGCTGCAAGCGCAACAGCAGCCGCAGATGCAAGTGATGCAGCTGCCCGATGGCCAGACCATATTCTATCAGACGCCCACGATCACACAGCTGGATCCCAATGCGGCGGCGGCAGCAGCAGCGGCGGCGGCAGCGCCACATTACCTCAACATCAACGGGCAATTGGTGCAAATAACGGCGGCACCCAGTGCCGGCCAAGCGGCGCCCACAGCGGGACAACAGATCATAATGTTGCCGCAAATGACGACTGTAAATGCGGCCGCGGTGGCTGCCAATGCTGCTAACAATGTGGCCCAGAACAGCAACAATGTGCAACAGCAGCAGCAACAACAACAGCAGCAGCAACAACAACAACAGGCTCAGGTGCAGGTGCAGCTGCAGACGACGACGACGCCGAGCACGATGGGAGTCAGCACAAGCGGCGGCGCTGCAAGCAATGCGAGCAGCGCCGATGTCAGCACCAGCACAACGGGCACGAACACAAACAGCGACGATGATGATAACTCCAAGGGCGAGGCAGACGAGGAGCCGCTCTATGTGAATGCCAAGCAATATAAACGGATATTGATACGACGGCAGGCACGCGCCAAGCTGGAGTCGCGTATCCCGAAGGAGCGCTGTAAATATTTGCACGAATCTCGCCATCGGCATGCCATGAATCGGGCGCGCGGCGAGGGCGGTCGCTTTCATTCCGCCCAGTTGAAGGGCGATCAGTCCGCCGGCATGGATGGCATCAGTCTGCCGCTGGCTGCCAGCGGCGGTGCGACTCTTAGCCGAAGCACAGCGCGTGCGCCGCCCAAGCTGATAGCACCACACCAAACGCCGAGCATAACCATAACGGCCATCAAATCGGAATAGGCGGGCGGCGGCGGCGATTGCGCAGATTGTTGTAGATAACACCTAAGCTAAGTTCTGTAAACTTAACATAGCCATGTAGTCGTAATGCTAAGTCTAACGTTAAGCTCAGGTCATGACTCGATTTTTGGATTGTACACAATTTGCAAATATATTTGTATCTATTTAAATGTATGTGTGCATTTCGGTGCGTGATTCCTCCAAAAATGTGTTAAAGTGACTACGGAAATGTGTGTCAATTGTTTTACCAGACGTCGGAGTAGTCAATTAAAAATATTTAACAATGCGCGCCACGGCTGAATTTTGCATAAGCAAAGGCATTTACAACCTTGCAGATGCCAAAAAGAACGGCGCGCTGTTAACTTAACAGCACTGTTAACGATCACGTTTGTTAAACATAACCTAAAAAATAGTTGTAAAAACGCAATCATACAAAATAAAACACATATTTTTTTGTGTATTTTACAACACGTTCAACCTTATGTATAGACATTATCGACAGGTTTGAACATTTGTGGGTACTGGATCGTTTTATTATTGGCTCAAATTGCATTTTCTTTTCTCGTTTTCTCGTCAAAACACACGCACACGCACACACACACACACGTAGAACTCGGAGTTCCTGACGCTCACGTACGGCGCACTGGTCACACAGATGCTGCGCGACTTTGAGAACGTTGAGGATGTGAACAAGCAGCTGGAACGGATTGGCTACAACATGGGCATGCGCCTGATCGAGGACTTTCTGGCAAGGACATCGTCGCCGCGCTGCCTGGAGATGCGCGAGACAGCCGATCGCATCCAGCAGGGATTCCGCATCTATTTAAATGTACAGCCCACCATTTCCAATTGGTCGCCGGCCTCCGATGAGTTCTCGCTGCTCTTCGACTCCAATCCGCTAACGGAATTCGTCGAGCTGCCACAGGATCTGACCAATCTACGCTACAGCGCCATACTCAGCGGCTGCATACGCGGCGCCCTCGAGATGGTCCAGCTGGAGGTGCAGTGCTGGTTTGTTCAGGTACATACGTATATATATATATATAGTAAATATATAATATAAATAATATATATATTATATTTAAAAGACTAGAACTCAGTGTCTGCGCGTGTACAGTGAAAGCTCCACTAAAGCGAACCAGCTCCCTTTTCTTTAACTTTCGAGCTTCTGTTTGGAATCCAATTAGAATTTTCTCTGCTAAAACTAGCTTTAAAGCAATGCAAAAAACTTCTTTTAACTTAAATCTTATTTGAAAATTGCACTTAAAAAAAAAAAACTAAAACTAATTTTTCTGCAAACAAAAATCTTTTTTTTAACTTAAATCTTATCTAAAAATTGCTCTTAAAATCAAAAACTTTGCAATTTCTTAAACGAAATGGAAAATTTTGCAATCATTCATTATTTATTTTTTTTTTTTTGGCATTAACAAACATAAGAAATTATGTTTAAATATGAATGAATGCAGGCTTTATTTTGTTTGTCATTTGTGTGTCCGCTCAAGAGAGTTTTCACTGTACGTGTGTGTGTTGTGTGTGTGGAATACTTTTTGGTTGCTGTTCCTTCAAGCCGTTTCTTTTTGGTTTTGCAGGATCAACTGAAGGGCGACAATGTGACGGAGTTGCGTGTTAAACTCGTGCGACGTCTAGAGGAAGCCATACCAGCTGGCGAGGATTAGAGATAGACAAACAAACACATATATACTAATATATATAAAGAGAGAAACAGAGAGAGCGGGAGCGGGAGCTGGAGGGAGATGAACGTTTGGGGCGCTTCTCATTTAGGATTTAGTAACATTTTCGATACCAAGCTGCATTCCGAAGCGAAGGCGCGTCTGCACAAACGGAAACAACAACAATAACAGCAAATTAATTATTATTATTAAAAAAATAATAGAGGAAACCATTTTAGTTATATTTTTATTCGACTTTATACAAGATATTGTTTAATGTCAGTTATAAAATATATAGTGTATACATAAAGTAGTTGTATAAAGCAATTCATGTTGAATTTTTTAAGGCGTTTTTGGTTAAGTGTTTGCTTCTCTCTGCCCTTGCAGGCGGAATAAGTACTATGTGACGAGTGTTGTGTAACGCTCCAAAGGAGACAAGCTATTATGTGGACCATGGGGTATGTATATATATACATATATATGTCTCTCCTTTTTTTTTAAATTTTCGGCATTAGTCGGAATCGGATATATTATAAAAATGAAGAAAATCGAATATATTGTTTTATTCAAAAAGTTTTTTGTGTTTTATAGAACTTTCATTAAATTAAGCAATTATAGATTTTATTAAGCTTTTAAAAGTTTGGCAAAAACTGATGAACGTCAGATCAATCAGGCGAAAAATAAACTGATTTATTTATATAAGAACTGGTCTACTTTTTAAGAAAATCCTTTCAAATTCTCCGAGTTCTAATATTTGAGCAAAATAATTGCTATCAAGCCTAACTGCAAGAGCATTTAAACTTCGGCAAGCCGAAGCTAACTTTCATATTTTTTGTTGTTTTTGTTTAAGCAATTTTAACATTTTATACAGGTGTTAAAAGTTGAAGTATAACTTATAAAATCTTAAGCGTTAGAGTTAAAGCGGCAATAATTGTATTCAATTGAATTAAGTTTGTGTTTGTTTTAGTTTAGGCGGCTTTTGATTAAGTTTGGAGCGCGGCCAGCCGACGTTGGGTTTTGCATTTGGTTTTATTTAACAACTAACAACAACAATAACAAAATAATTTTCTTTCCTTTTTTTTTTTACATGGAATACTTTCTCATAGGCACAATACAATACTTGGTTACACGTTTAAAGCTTTGGTTTGTCAATTCAGCTATTTGCTAGCTAAAGTTGGCTATTTTTAGAGGCAGAGTTTAAAATTATTAAGCTGACCGCCAATTTTTTGGCAAGTACACTAACGACCCTGTTTAGCTATTTCAGGCTATTTTCAACATTGGATGCAGCTACTTCTTTTTTTTAGGTGGCACTTGGCAACACTGCTCTGGGGACACTTTGGGCTTTGTTGTTGTAGCAAAAATTGTTGTTGTTGCTGGCGGCGGCGGCGACGGCGGCGTTTTTAGTTCTGCTGCGGGCAAAGCATTAGGTTGAGGTTCCGGCGCGTCAGAACTTTGCGCAGGGCTTGCAACGTTTTCATGCAGATGACGACACAACAGCCATTGGCCACGCCCTCGGCGGGACTCTTGCACGTGCAAGAGCTGCTCTTTAGAGCGGCGCTGCCGCTGATGACTGCAGGCGGCGGCGGCTGCGCCTTGACCGAGCAGCAGCTGGCGCTGGCAGCGGGCGGCGGGCTGCAGCAGCCGCCAGCGGCGGGTTTATTGCTTGAGCAGCAGCCGCCGGCAGCTGCAGGAGGCGGCAAAGCAGCAGGAGCACAACAGCCGCCGCTTGCTGTTGCCGGCGGATTTGGTGCGCAACCACAACCGCTGGCAGCTGCCGGAGCTGCTGGCTTGGCAGCAGCACGGCCGCCGCCGCCACAGCCGCCGCTCATGGATGCCAGATTCTGGAGCAGCAAAGCAACATCCTCGATGTTTTGATTCATTTCCGCTTCGCGTTTACTCACTTTTTTGCTGGCGGCGCTGCCGCAGATGCGTTTGCCATGGGAGCTGGTTGTTGTTGTTGTGGTTGTTGTCGTAATTGGCTTGGCCTTCGGCGTGGAGGAGGAGGAGCCGCCGCTGCCGCCGCAATCGCCGCCATGACAGCTCTTGGTCTGATCACACTTGCAATTGGTGCAATTGCAGATGCCCGCATCTGCTGTGATCTGCTTGAGCGTTGGCTTATTGTCCCGGATGTCCAGCTCCACGAGGCCGGACGCATCGTTGGGCACCTGCGACGCCTGATGCAGCGTCGCCTGGAGCAGCGCGCTGTTATTGTCAATGGTCATGAGTATATCGTTGAGCAGCGATTCCGTCTCCATGTCCTCATCGTTGTCGTAGCTATCGTCCTTGAGCAGCTCCTCAATGTTCTGCGGATTCAGCTCGAGCGTGGGCAGCGTGGAGCTGGCCACAACATTTGTGCTGTTCAGCATTTCGACGTCGAGCGTCGCCAGCTCCTCCATGTTGCCGCTGACGGCGCTGCCAAAGTTCGCCTTCAGATCCACAAAGCTGGGCATTTCGGTGGGCAGCGCCATGCAGGCATCGGTCAACGGTGCGCTGGCCATAAGGGGCTTGGAGACGAGCACGCCGGCATCTATCCAGGGACTGGGCAGCTCCTCCTCGGCGGCATAGGACAGCGGATATGCCTGGGATGTCTCCGGCAGCAGGAACACATTCGACAGCTGCTGCAGCACAACGCCGCTGTCGTTGCTCGTGTTCTCCGAGCTCTGGCTGCTCGGATTGAGCAGCACCATGTCTGTCTTTTGTAGCTCCAACGGCTCCTGCTCCTGTTGTTGCTCCCGCTGCTGCTGCTGCTGCTCGAGCAGTAATTTCTGTGCACGCTTCGACTTCTTCTTGCTCTTGTTCAGATGCGTCTTCTTGTGCGACTTGAGGCTGTGCGAGGTGCTGAACGATTTCTGGCAGCTATCCTCCTGGCAGGGATACGGCTTCTCGCCGGTGTGCGTGCGCCGATGCGTCTTCAAATGATGCGATGCCGTAAAGGCCTTGCCGCAATCGTCCTCCGGGCACTTGTACGGACGCTCCTGTGTATGGGTGCGCATATGCTTCTTCAGGTCGCTGAGCGTGGTGAAGCACTTCTGGCACATTTCGCAATTGAACGTCTCGCCATTGTGCAGCCGGAGGTGGGCGTGCAATCTGATCAGAAAGCAAAAAAACAAATATTGATTAGATCCAATATCTATAATGTCTATATTTAGCTACTTGCCTGTATCGCGTGTTGAACGCCTTATCACAGCCGCTCACCTCGCACTCGTAGGGCTTTACCTTGGTGTGGACGCGTACATGGATTTTCAGGCTATACGAGGTGAGAAATGCCTTGTTGCAGCCCTCCTCCGTACACTTGAAGCTGTAGTCACCTGGAAATCAAAACAAATGACATTTACTTAATTTTATAACTATCTTCTTTTTATTCAGTTGCGCGCGTTTAAAATGTTTACCCGCCCAATCAACGGCAACGGCACACAAAGTAAGCGCACAGCGATGCCAGTGTTGGCAAGCATGGTAGCATAATACAAGAAGGTTGGCTAATTTGTAGGTGTCACCATTTATCGTTGACCAAAACAACATTGTTTAGACCAAAGTAGAGGTAAGAAGAAATACCAAGGGTATTTATTTCTTATTTTCTTCTAAATAATAAGCTTAGCGATATTTTTTATGCTAACCGTGCTTATTAAATCTTTCCCTTTTAAAATTAAAATTAATCCAAGCCAATTGATTAATGAATTTACACAACAAAATAATATGTTTGTCACACTCGAATAATTAGTGATTTTTTACCAGCTAATAATTGATATTTTATGTAGCCAGTTATTATTTTGTTTCAAATTGACATGACGTCACGCGTCCTCATTGCGTGCATAACACGCCTGTCTCTGTGCATTGCCAGTGTTGCCTAACGTTCCAACAACGAACAACTGTTTGCGTTCGCCCGTCGAAGCGCACGCACGCATGCAAATTGTTTTTTAAAACGCTTTTTAAAAATATAAAACAATGTCGGACATTGAGGAGAAATTAATTAAAAGTGTGAAGCACCAGGCGTGCTTGTATAATAAATCAAATTCTGGTTTTCGCAATCGCCAAAAAAGAGATAGAGCATGGGCACAAGTCTCAATTGAATGTGGACTGCCAGGCAAGTACGCACACACACACACCTGCACATTTTTACATGTGTGTGTACGTGAGACCGGCAAATAAATTGCAAGTATTCTATTTTGTTTATAGTCAAACAAAGCCAATGTCGCTGGAAAACACTGCGCGATCGTTTTGTGCGCGAATGCCACAAATGCAGCGATTCACAAATGGATTCCAGCCACTGGCGATACTTCAAGCAGCTCCACTTTCTGCTGGAGCACATCAAACCACGCGGCTGCGGGTAAGATTTGAGGCAAGGAACTTATATTTGTAGCTTTTATATATATTCTGTACAATTGCAGTAGCCTGGATGATCAACAACTCGATTTAGAAGTCGATCTATCACTTGACAATGACGAAACCAACCGCAGCTACTCCAGCGATCCGCACTGCAAGAGCGAGGCCAACGGGGAGGATCCGCTGAGCGAGGCATCGTCCAGCACACAGCTACAACCGTCGCAGGCACAAGAGGAGTTCGTTAGAGTAATGGGATTGCTGGAGACCGTCTTGGCGCAGAAGCTCAACGAGCAGCCGCCGACGGATGTGCCTCAAGCGGATCCCTTCTACAAATATCTCGAGAGCATTCTGAGTCGCGTGGAGGCAAGCGCACGCGCGGACATCCAATTGGAAATACTCAATTTTGCCAATCAGTTAGTCAAGAATGCAAAAACACAAAGTGCCAGTTAATATATAGAGATAGTTATAGGATAAGCTGAAGGGAATGGTAGATACGCTGTACGCACACTAGCTTAAGGATGAATCAAATGAGTATCAACTGGTTATGGACACCGATTTGTATCGATAACACAAGACATCATGAAACTATCGATAACTAGAAACGAATCTGATTACATTTTCGAATTACATTTCGAATTTGAAGTCTCTAGTTCGCATCAACTCCGAAATATGCCTTAATTGTTATCGATATCTGTATCGATATCAAGATCCCATGGAACTATCGATAATTAGAAACGATTCTGAATACATTATCGTATTACATTGCGAATTAACCGTCTTTAGTTCGTATCAACTCCGAGATATAACTTAAAATACCCTTTTTATAGTTTATATACATAATTAGAACTAGAATTGTTGTTGATCTTGGTCCGAAACTCACCTGTGTGTGTTTTTAAATGCGTGCGCAGATTCCCGATGGTGCTGTAGCTGCGGTAACAGTTCTCGTAGTTGCATTTGTAGCGGCTGAGAGCTTCGTCCGAGCTCTGCGAGTTGCCAACGAAGAATAAACAATAAATATTAGTTAAATGAGCCAATTGGATTCGATCGAATTGAATAAGAACTATGTACAAAGTCGTCTTTAGGTCGTTAGGTATTATGTTTTGATGTACTTCGTAAGTCGTATAATAAATATTAGAATAAGAAAAAGTGCATGCAGTGTGCGTGTGTGTGTGTGAGTGTGCGTGTGAGTGTGTGCGTGTGAGGAATTTGTAGTTGGATGAGTTTTAAATGGTGTTTCGGTTGTGTTTCAAGGTGTCGAAGGGTTCGGCTAAAACTACGCACCAAGTTGACTGTTTGTGAATGCGAAACAAATTTGGTTAACAAAACTGTGATTAGACGCCTAGCGGTTGATTGGATGGGCGGGGCATTGGGAGCGCCCGCCCCCTGCCCCGCCCCGCTGTCTATAGCTCTAGGATTAACGAGGCTTTTGTTTTTTTATTTTTGCTACAAGCGGCGTTACAAAAACGTTAAAATTAGTTAAACACAAATTTTGCGACTGTTTGTGTATTTTTTTAAATAATTTTTTTTTTGCGTGGGCGTGGCTTTGCTTGGAATGGGGGCTGAGTACCTCGTACGCCATCGCCATCAGCTGATCCTCGTCGGTGTCCTTGTGCAGTGCGCCCGGATGGATGCAGTGTACCAAGTCATCCTCCTCATCTGGCTCAGTTTGATCTTCGATAAAGCTGCAAGATCGTTCGTTCGGTTATATATGTCTCTCTCTCTCTCTCTCTCTCTCTCTTTCTGCTATGTTCAATTTGTGTCAGTGGGCCGTTAAAAAGATGTATTTACATATATATATATATCTATACTCAAGACAATAACTGTACACATACATACATACATACATACACACAGTAAGCTATCGCATATAAGAACTTGCAGAAAATAGATAAATCAAACTTTTTACCTTCAGGTTCGTTTCGTTTTCTGATTTTAAAGTATTTAATTTTTAAAAAAATATATTCACGCGCCTGATCTACTGAAAATATTGTAATCCATACTTATTTTCATATATACAATGTGCGCTATATTTGATCTCTACCCAAAATTTGCATCTATAAATGATTAGATAAATGCAAAAGTTGGGGCCAAAGTTGTTTATGCTTTGGTTTTTATTTACAATATATGTATACGCAAGAATTTAGCGAATCAAAATCGGAATCTATTTATTCAAGTTAAAGATTTCACAAATGTAAATAAAGCTGGGTTATCTCGGGTAACTAAAAACTCTTAACTGAAAACGCAGCGTTCTTATTTGCGAGCGATCACTGTACTTGCAAATTTGATATATGTATGTACGTATGTTTACATGTATGTATTTGTATGTGTGTGTGCTAATTAGTGAGGTTAAGTCGCAGCCAGCACAAAAAAAAATCCATTAATAAACAGTTGACAACCAGCAAAGCAGAAACATCAGTCAAAACAAACAACAAAAACATAACAGAAAAAAAAGAACAACGGATTAGCTGAGCTGGAGACGCCTTAAAGCTTTTATAATATGCTGATTAATTCATATTTAATATTGTCATGGTCAAACACGACGTCGCCGAAACTATAAAGGAAAATTTGAAAGAAAACACACACACGCGGCGAAAACAACAACAAAAATATTGAATTTTCGAAATTAATGTGAGGGGGCGTGAGCACGCCCCCTGCGGAGGTGCAGGGGGCGCGCGAGCGCGCGCGTCGCGTCTTGACTGGCCTGAGAGCAGCACCCAGTTCCCCCCTGCCCCCCCACCCCCCGTCAGCACACTCTGCACTACGAACACACGCTGTCCCTGTCACGGACATAGCCGCTTGCTTTCCCCGCCCCCGCCATGCAGCCCTAATCTCAAGTATCGCGCGAGTGCTGAAAAGTGAGAAATATGATTGAGGTGAACACTCATAGTGATAAAAATAGCGCGGCGTAGACGTAGAGGGTCGGACAGAGCGGACGGCACAAAAAGAAATTATATTCAAAAATGATTATTATTGTACTAAAAATGAGAAGCAACTACAAAGCTGTGGCTAACCACGTCATTAAAAATCATTTAAATTATGTTTATGTATACAGACTAATTGGAAGTGGTCAAATTGCATCTATACCTAGTTGGATGTGGTGAAATTGGACAAATAAGCGTATAATTAATATATTCACAAATAAATCAAAATTAATTCTTTAATTAGTGATTAACTATACTTTAACTATACCACAACATTAAATAATTAAAAGGTTGCCCCATCCAATCAGAACGATTGTTATACTAGAACATGGTACTGGAATCTAGTTGGAAATAGTGATTCAGTTTTAATTGTTTAGTATTCATTTTAAATTCCTTGTGAAGTATTAAACATGAATATAAAAAGTATCATTATCCAATTCGAACAACGACTTCAGGTGATCCGCAAGCATTCATCTAATTGGATGATTTAAATTAGAAAAACTTGCAAAGAAAATGTACAACTAAAATAGGTGAAAAGTGCATTAAAAGGGAATTTTCCAAGCAAAATCAATAAAGTTGTGAAAAAGTTATGGAAAATTACAAATAATAACCTAAACATATGAACTCCAATCAGAAACAATGACTTAACTTCCAATAGGCGCTGATAAGAAAAGCAATTATTGTTGTGTGAATGATTTACTCAAGAGATAATGCTATAAAAATAAACACAAATCGAAAACTCGTTTTAAATACATAAAATATGGAGCAGAAATAGATATATTGTGTATATCAAGTGCTCCACTTGATGGAATATTCTCGATTAGAATTTCACAATGCCCAGTCCAATTGGAAATCGTCTAATTTACAGCTAGTGTGAATGAATATGAAAAAAATCGCGTTTTTCTTTTTGTTGTTCTAACCCATCAAGTATGTATATGCATGTGTATACATAATTATATATGTCTGTGTGTGTGTATTTTGTAGTGGGGGGAATATCTAAATGCGTTCATCGGCATAATTATTTTTAGACCAAACAAACAATTTGGATACAATCATCGGGCAGCAGAAGACGGACTGCAGTAGCAGCAGCACCCGCAGCCGCAGCAACAGTAGAGCAGCAAAAACCGTTATATTCCCATTGCCACCAAAGCATCGAGTACATACTCATATACATATACATATATATATATGTATTGGTATGCAGCAGAGGTGGGTGAGCACCGGCGAACACAAATCAGGCAATTAGCAGACAACATGCAAGCATTTCGGACACTTAACGAACGTGCGTTGTAATAAGTGGACATTGGAATTGTTGAAATTTGCAAGAGGGAAAACTGCTTTTTACGGCCGAATTTCGGGTCTAATTAGTTTTGGGTAGCCAAGAGTAAAAAAAAAAAAAGAAAAAGGGAAAGAAAAATAGACAAGGAGAGCAATAACCAATGTATGTATATGGCCGGGCACGTCACATTAGAGCAGACGATAGAAACATGCAGCAGAACATTTGTGTGGGCAGTGGAAAATTTAGTCATGGGCATTATAGCCATGGGCGGGGGTCAGCAACAGACAGAACAGACAGAACAGACAGGGCCAAAGTGCAAACACCTGGCAACATTTAAATTAACCAAAATGCACCAGAAGTATCGATAAGCATTTTTAACGAAAGCAAGCACAACAAGTAATATCTACACACATGAACAACAAAAGTTATAAGCAATAAACAATAGCAAAGGTATCGATAAGCATTGACAACAATAGCAGTGTTGCGAAGCATGCAATGGGATGTGCCAGTGCTTACTACCTCGTCCCGAGAGTGAAATATGCAGTAGTAGTAGTAGCAGTAGGAGTTGGTGTTGAGTTGTTGTTGTCGCTGCTAGTTGTTGCTGTTGTTGTTGTTGTTGTTGGTAGTTCTTCGCTTGCCGGTATCATGCTGAAGGACACCACTGTAGGTGGCTGCACCTGAACGAGCTTTTGATTTTGAAACTGATATTCCAGAGTAAAGCAAATGTCATCCAGATTGTATGTGCCGACAGCTGCTGCGTTTGTTGTTGTTGTTGCTGTTGTTGTGTGCTGTGATGAATTTATGGGCATGGCAATGGGTGTGGGTGTGGCTGTGGATGATGCTGTGTTTGAGGTGGTGTTGGTGCTGGTTAGCAACAGGGGTGCACTTGTGAGCGGTCTCAGTGTGAACACCGCCTCGTCGTCAGCTATGTCAACTATTTTGTCGTTGTCTGTATGCGTCGTCTGTGCCGGCACCTCCTGCAGCAACGTGTACGTTGTTGTTGCTAGCTCATCAACATCGCATTCGTCCGCCTCAAGTTCTAAACTTATGCCTAATGGTTGCAGCACCTGTTGCTCCCCAGCCGTGTGACTGTAAATGCTGCTGCTACTGCTGCTGCTGCTGCTGCTGCTGCCGCCGCCGCCGCTGCTGCCACCGTCCGCTTCCAGCTTGGGCGCCAGCAGCGATGCCAGCAGCGCTTTGTCCTCAAAGCCATCAAAGTCCAGCTGCAGCGTTGACGACGTGATGGGCGGCGAGCCCGTTAGCGAAGTGCGCGTTGAGTTTGTATCATAATCCCTGCTGTCTGATAAGGAATTTCCATGATTGGACGACTTCCAGCTGTGCTCGTAGTACTGTTGTTGTTGCTGTTGAAGCGTCTCGTCGTTGCTTGCATCCATTTTGTACTTATTCTAGTATATCACACACACACACACACGCACAACACTTCTCACTCATAGACATGTATGTTTACGCATGCAGTTTTATATTATTTTTTACTTATATCACTGCGCAATGCCGATACATATATACATATGTATTACAAAAGAAATTAGAAGCTTTATAAAGAGCAACAGCGGCGATCCGAACAGAATAATCACGTCCACGCAGCGCAACAACAAAGATAAGACTAGCGATGGTAGTGGGTGTGTAAAACTCAAATCGATATATCGATGATGTCACTAGCGATGATTGATTTTTAACAGAAATATCTCATTAGGCTCTTACGGGCATTCCCTTAAATGATTTTAAATTATCATTTTGTATTCGATTGGAAAAGAGGCCTCTAAAATTAATATTATAAGCTGTATAATAGTTGGTTAATTGAGCATTAAGAAAAAGAAACAATTGCAGGAGATACTAAATGCCTGTGCTTATTTTCTTAGGTAAATTAAAATATTCATTTATAACATAAATATTAAAAGGGACAGTAACAATAACTAATAAAATATTAAATTTTATATTCATATGCATATGAAATTAAGAATCAGCCACATAAATAATTATATACTCTGGTAAAGTACACGGCGAGCTCAAATCAAATGTTCGCGCCTAACGTGTGCGTTAAAAGTATCGATATCGATACCACATTTAGTTCGGTCACACTGCGCGCAGAGGCAGAGGCAGTACATATACAAAATTCATTGATTTTGTCAACGTAAAACATACAGCGCATAGCTGCACAGGCAGAGCATATAAAGTGAAGATAGTTAACTAAATTAGGAACGCAGCTGGAACCAGGCACAAAATGCACGACTGGCAAGCCAAAAACAGAGAACTGTGAAGACACGCCAAGCAGAAACGCAGCAAGAGTTTCGCTGTGCTGCTGAACTAAAAATTCCCAATAAGAAAGAAGTGCAAGAAAAAGAGCATACGGTGTAAAAGGAAAAAGCAAGCAATACAAAAAAAAAACCAAAGCAAAAATTTCAACAATATAAAAGCAAATAAAAACATGACAATCGTTGTACAAGATTAATTATTGTGGCAATTGTGGCGCACCAGCGGCCGGCCGTAAAATGCCAAGGAACACTTGCAGGCCAAGTGAATGTGTAGCTAACGGTACTGGCAACAACAACAACAACAACAGCAGCGACAAGGCTAACGGTAACCATGATGACAGCGGCACAACAGCGGCGGGCAGCAGCAGCAACAGCAGCAGCAGCAGCAGCGGCAGCGGCTGCATCGTCAAACAGGAGCTGGACGCAGCGCCGCCCGTTTGCCACAGAAAATCGGAGCGTCGAAAAATCGCACGCGATATTTTTCTGGTCTTCGAGGAGCAGCCAGCGCGACGTCGACGCGGACGGGGCGGGGCGAGGGGCACGCGGGCCAAGCAAAAATTTGGCCATCTAAAAGTGGCCAATACGCCGCGCATCAACAAGAATCTGTTGCGTGACATCAAAACGGAACCAAAGTGCAGCGCGGCAGCAGCGCAGCCGACGCTGGCAGAAAAGCCAACAGAGCAGCAGTTGGAGCCGGAGCTGGAGCTGGAACGGGAGCCGGAGCTGGAGCGGGAGACAGCGGCGCTGCCGGAGCCGGTGCCGGAGAGGCCCAAGGCCAAGCTGGCCGCCGTGAAACTTGAAACCAAAATAGCATCAAATGCAGCAGCAGCAGAAACTGCGCCGACGCAGCAGCTGCTCCCGGCAGCAACTCCAGCAGCATCAGCTCCGGCCACGCCCAGCGTCAATCCGATCTTCCTGTGGGTCAAGCAGGACGATACGCGCATTGTGGAGGTGCGCTGCGAGGATTACGATAAGCGTAATCGCATACGCCTGACGAAGACAACAAATGGCTGGCGTTCCATGCCGCGCACCGATGCCTCGTCCAGTCGCATTGTCAAGTTCTTCCACAGCACAGCGGCGGCGCCCTTGCTGAAGGTCAAGCGCGAGCAGCTGCAGCAACAGCAATCCATGGAGCAGGAACAGCAGCACGAGCAGGAGGACGACGACGACCCCGCGGAGCAGCAGCACCAGCACCAACAGGAGTGGACGGTAGTGGAGCAGCAGCGGGAGCAGGAGCAGGAGGAGGAGGCGGCGCAGGCTAACAATCTGGCGGCTGTCATTGAGCAGGTTGTTGTTGTGCCTGCCCAGCAGCAGCAGCAGGAGCAGCAGCAACCGGCCACGCCCACGAGGCCGCCTTCAGCGGATGCGTGTTTCGATGCGCTGCTCGACAGCGAGACGAATGCCTCGACCCGGGCCACCAAGACTAGCACCAGCAATGCCAATACGCCCACATATCAGAGCTCCCGCTCCCGCTCACGTTCCCGCTCACGTTCCCGCACGGGAACGCCCGCGACGACGCCCGCGCCGCTCGAGCTGCAGCTGTGCCCCAAGACAGGCCTGTTTCTGCCCAAAGGATCAGCTCCCGTTGCTGCTGCTGCTGCTGCTACGGCGGAGCTGCCACTCGCTGCACCTCAGGAGCTGGAGCTGGAGCCGGCCAAGCCGCTGGCGGCGCACAGCAGCAGCAGCAGCGTGGATCAGGCGAATCTCGAGGCGAATAGCAAACACTTGAAGGATCTGCTCGACGATGCCGACGATCTGTTGCAGAACTGCAGCAGCGACAACGGCAGCAGCGGCGCCGAGCTTCTGGATTCGCTGGTGCAGCGCAGCTGCGAGGACAACCTGATGCAGGAGGAGACCAGGCAGCAGCAGGAGCAACAATCGCAACAGTCAGCGGCGGAGCTGCCCGGCATTTTGGACAGCATGGACAGCAGCGATGCGGGGCCCAAGTGCCTGTCGTTCAATGAGGCCGGCGAGATCGAGGGACTCAACGGCGAGCTCTTCCTGGGCATCGACACCTTCGACAAGCAGCCCGAAGCGGAAACGGAAGCGGAGGCGGAAGCGGACGCCGTGGCAACTGTGCTGCCGGCAGCCAAGCAGCCGGAGTTGGTCGCCGTGCCGGATGAATCGCCCAAGGATTTGAGCTACAAGAAGCGCGAGGAGGTGTGCCCGCCGTCGGAGTCGCGCAGCCAATGCGCGGTCACCTCCAGTTCGGATATCTTGAAATCGAAATCGCCGGAGCCGGAGCTGCTGCTGCAGCTGCCGGCTACGAGCATACCCGCCGAAGTGGAGACCACCTCGGAGACGATCAAGCATCTGATACTCGAACAGTTTCTCAAATTGAATGGCAATGCGCAGCAGCAGCAGCTGCAGCAGCAGGCGGAGCCCATGGATCTGGGCAAGGCGACATGTCGCGCCGCGGACAAGCTGCACACGGTTGTCATCGATGACGAGGAGGAGGAGGAAACGGAGGCGGCGATGGCGGCAACTGAACCGACGGAGCCATTGAAAAAACGCTCGAAACCCATCAAATTGGACAAGGATCCGGATGCACTGACCCAGCTGAAGATGCTGATCAACAATCCGCAGTGGAAGGTGCCAGATCCCATACTCGTGCCAAAGGATCGCCTCGGCGCGGTGCTGGCATCGCCGGCACGGGAAATTCCACTGCTGCTGACGACACGGCCGGAACTCCGGCTGCCGGAGGCATTTGCCTATCCGGAGATCATACAGAATCCCAATATACTGGTGGTCACCATGGAGCAGCTGGAGGCCATACTCAAGAACGATTCGGAGCAGTCCAAGTCCGGAGTTGTCTGCCAGCCCATGCTTGCCTCCGCCTCCGTCGCCGCCGCCTCGCCCTGCCCCCTGCCGCTGCAGCCGAGCGGGAAAGCAGCCGCCAGCGTCAGTCTCAGTCCTAGTCCCAGTCTGCTGATGAAGCATCCGCCAGCTGCTGCAGTGGCTCACCACAAGGCAACGCCGCCGCCGCCGTTGCCATTGCCGTTGCCGTTGCCACAGCTGCCCGTTAAGTCGAACATGGCGGCCACGCCCAGTTTGGCCGCTGCCGTGCCTCAATCCTCGCCAGCAGCCGACTCGAGCATGTCGCAGGAGCTGAATGCAACGACGCTGGCGCTGCTGCAGCAAATGCTCTGGCTGCCCTACTTTGGCCAGCTGTCGCAGGAGTTCTTCAAGACCCTCAAAGATCCACTTGGACTGCAGCGCAAGTTCATGAGCAACCTGCTCCCGCTGTACAACAGCCAGTTCGGGCTGCAGCATCTGGATGAGCTGTACAAGCATTGCCTCAAGCAGAAGCCCGCCGGCGAGGAGCAGGCAACGACGGCGGCGGCCAAGCAGCAGCAGATTGGCTTCACCAATCCCATGGAGCTGGCCTTTATGCAGAAGCTGCTCCAGCAGCAGCAGCAGCAGCTGCCGAAGGCATCACCGCAGCAGCAACATCTGCACTTGGAGCACAAGCGCGCCAGACGCGATCCGGATGCCACGCCCCTGCACATACCCGACTTCAGCAAGCCCAAGGCGACGCCTCCAATTGCAGCTCCAGCTGCTGCAGCTGCTTCGGCTCCGACTGCTGCTGCTCCCGCTGCTGCTCCAGCTGTTGCCCCTGCGGAGCACAAGCCGCGCCTTACCTGCAAATCGCTGTCGAATCTGCTGGAACCAGAAAGCAATATGGTGCCGCTGCTGCAGGTGCCCTACGATGCAGTGCGTCGCAACTCCATGTACAAGCAGCAGCAGCAGCAGGCGACGGCGCAGCACGAGCAGCTGGCCAAGGAGGCGAACAACGGACGCACGCTGCGCAGCAGCAAGGCCAGCATCAACTTCAATACCCAGGAGCAGCCCAAGACACACTCCCAGCCGCAGCAGCAACAGCTCCAGCAGCAGCAGCAACAGCAGCAACAGTTGCAGTTGCAGCAGCAACAGTTGCAGCTGCGCAAACGGGGGAATATGCTGGCGCACGAGGTGCAGCAGCAGCAACATTTGGCGGAGGCAGCGGCCGCAGCAGCGGTAGCAGCTGGTGGCGCCGGCCTGGACACCAACTCGGCGCTGTGGCATCCGCTCTTCGGCAGGTCAGTCAATCAGTCAGAAATGTGTTGAGCTTTAAATGTAATCCCCTTTTTTTTGATACCCACAGCAATCCGAAGCAGGGCTACAACAGCCCCTGGCAATGGACGACGGTGACGGCCACCGGCGAATGACAGTCAAGCCGGGCTCACAAGGAGCCAGCCAGCTACGAGGAGCAGCAACTGGACTACAACAGCAGCAGCAACGGTTGCAGCTACCACGCAGCAGCAGCAGCAGCAGCAACAGCTGCCAAGCAGCAGCAACAACCCGCAGCAGCAGCAGCAGCAGCTGCCGTCAGCAACAATCAAAATAATCACAGCAATAGCAACAAGTTTTGTTATCCGGATAACATGTTCCAAGGCAATCAGCTGCTCAACTCAGGTTACATGGCCGAGCAGGGCTACTGGCAGCACCAGCAGCAACACCAACACCAACAGCAGCAACACCAACAGCAGCAGCAACACCAACAGCAGCAACACAAGCAACAGCAGCAACAGTGGAGCAATCACAGCAGCAGCAACAACAGCAGCAGCAACAACAGGAGCAGCTATGCGAATAACTATGCCGCCGCGGCAGCTGCCTCGATGTACATGCAACACTTTAATCCCTACATGCAGCAGAAGGCGGCGCTGCTCGCCGAGAAGGCGGCGGCGCAGGCAGCGGCAGCGGCGGCGGCGGCGCACGGCAGCAGCAGCAGCGGCAGCAACAAGCACGGACGCTACGCGGCCGACTACGGCTGAGATGGCGCAGGGAGCACACACCTGGGCCCAGGTGTCATTTAACCAAAACAAACTTGCATATTAACATAAATCATATATAGGAATAATAACTCGACGTGCATAAAGTCAACTATACTCGGAGCATGTATAGGCCATTTTTAAACGCAAGGAATTGCCAAGGAATCGATTTCCTTTAATTAACAAAATTAATTTAAAATACAAAAACAATTAATTAATTAATTAAAAACTGCAACAACAAGGTAAACGGCAAGCAACAATAATTAAAGGGAAAAAAAACACACAATTAGTAAAAATTTGTTATTGGTAGTTTGTTAAAAAAAAAAAACAAAAAAAAGTAAATTAAAAAAAAAATATGTAGACGAGCAAGTAAGAAGCAGAGGCAAATGGAAGCAACAACAAAAAACAAACAAAAAGAAAAACAAAAACCTAATTATTGTATTATTGTTAACCCAAGCTGCGTTATATTATTATTATGATTATTATTATTATTATTATTAACTCGTGTGTGTGTATATAGCGTTTTTATCTAGATGTATTACACTTAGTAAGACCCCTCCCCAAAAATCCAATAAGAACTATTATCCCCCTCCCCCCTTATTCCCTCCTGAACGCAGCGCTAAAAAGGCAAAAAGCAAAAACAATTTTTGTATTCATTCCGCATAAGCAAAGCTACAAAGGAAGGTTTTTTCTGTTTTCACTAGTTGTTCCCCCCATTAATTATTATTATTATTATGATTAATATTATGCTTATTATTTATACGTGAAACACACATCAAACGAATCCCTTAAAAATGTGCAATCTTACATAAATGTATTTATGTTTTAGCAAACAAAACAAAAACACAACACAAGAATCACAAAAAACTTATAACGAGAAATGGCAAAAGAAAAACATGAAAAATAAAGAAAAACCTTTTAGAGAATTTCGCTGATAAAGGCAACAGAATAGCAAAAAAAAATATGATTAAGCTGCCTTTTTAATGGTTTTGGACTTTGTATAAATAATTATTGATTTAGTTTAATTGTTATAATTAATTTATTGCCCCTTCCTCGAAAATATTGCAAAGCCGTAAATATTTTCCTATAGAAATTGCGGGCTATATTTGATTTTAATCCAATATTGGCATCTGCCCGACATGGTTAGATATATCCAATAGCTGGAAGCCACGTTTTCATCAAAAGTTTTTCATTTTGAAACTCTTTTTGAAAAGTTTATAGTTAAGTTTCGCTTCGGAGTAAGAAATAATTGGAATTCCGGATTTGAATCGGATTAAACTTCATCAATCAGAAGAATTCTATTTTTTCTAGCTTTCTATTTTTTAAAATGGGTAAAGAAAAAACCTATTGAAAGAAACGAATAATAAATTAAATAGAATTTCTGGAATTGTCAGATTTAGATACGGAATCGAAGCAAAAATTGTTCTATCTATGGAATGTTATATTCTCCCGACATGTTTCCGACTTGATTATAGTGAACTTTACTTCTGATAGCCCCAATTTTCAATTGGGTGCACTTTAGACTCGAGTTGATAAATTACAAGTAATAGTATAAAAGATATGGAAAATTAAGCCTAGCCGAGCTAATCATAGAATGTTCTAATTATTGGTTATCTATATAAAAGATGAGTCTTGATAAATGCTTAACGTAAAGATTTTAGTACGCATTTTTGTATAAATATATATGCGTATATTTTAATTTCGGTGTATAGATATATATATATGTATATATGTATGTATAAATGTTAATTATTATTTTGTATAAATACGCAACTCTTCACTTACAAACAAGATTATTGATTAAGTTTATAGTTTAGTTCAAACCACATCTAATTAAAAAGAGTTTTGTTTTGTTTAGTTTTCGTTTTCATTTAGTTTCATTTGTTTTTTGTTTGTTTTTTAAAGCATTTGAAATGCGCGCGTGCGAATGTTGTTTCAGCTAAAGTAGTGTGTGTGTGTGTGTACGTGTGCTTGTTGTGCTCCCAGCCGTGATGCGCCCAGCCCCCTCCTCCCGGGGGAAGTCGTCTATTCGATCTGGCGATGCGCCTCCTGGAGTCGTCCGACAACGCCCTGATAGAACTTGATCTGCTCGGCAATGAAGGCCTTCAGTGTTTGCTTTAAATGCGTATCCCGTTCGGCCTTGAAGTGGGTCAGCTCGGCCAGCACCGTGTAGGAGACGACATCTGTGCGCCTGTTCACATCCTGCAGCTGGGCATTGCTCATCTTGCCCTCGGCGGTGGAACGCTCACAGTCCTTGCGCTTCTGTATGGCGCCCTTGTGTGTCGAGAAGATGTCCGGAAAGCAGTTCAAGACGCCTCTGCAAGAGATCGAAAGTAAGTTGGATATATGGATAAATCATCGCACCTCGCTCACCTGTAGATGTGCAGCCGATCGGAGAGCGGTATCCAGTCGTGCTTGGACTGATCGCCAAACATTTGACCGATGCCAATGTAAATGCCGCCAATGCGGCCCACGCTCTCCGAGAGCGGCACGCCGTTGCGTGTGGGCGCGCGCCGTTCGTCGATGGACAGCGATTTGGCCAGATCGGAGAGGCCGTCACCGATGCGCTGGAATTCCTTTTTGCTTTGGGTCAGCGAACGTTTGGCCATATCATTGGAAATGTTATTCAGATTGCGTATGGCCATATCCATGCTGTGTATGAACTGTGTGCCCGTCTCCAGTTGTGCGTCCACCTTGGAGTGCAGCAGATTCTTGTCCGGCGGCGATATGGCCAGGCAATAGTTAACGCCCATATACGGATCCCGTTCGGCTTTCCGTTTGCCCGACTTCCAGATCTTCTCGTCCGTGCATGTCAGAAAATGATACCATACCTCGCACTTCGATATGACCGGATGCCGGCAGACCCAGTCGACGAACTCCTGCAGCTGTACGCGCCGATGCTCCACAAATTGCTCCTCATAGCGTCCGGAGATCTGCTTGTCCGGCAGCGGCGGCACCGGTATCAAACAGAACTTATCCGCCAGCCTCTCGTGCAGCCAATCGAAGTGCTTGTACCGACGCGACACCTGTATTCCGTAATTAACATCGCCAGATTAGATAGAAATTCAATTTCGAAATGTGACACAGTCCCAAGTACTGAGTCATTCGCGAGTTCAGCAATAAAACATTCGTCAGCAAACACACAAACACACACACAAAGTAATTGAATTGGCAGTTGGTCAGCGGCGGTGGCTGCCCCCGACGCTTGCCCCCAATTGAACTCGCAACTTCAACTGCAACTCTCATCGCTTCAATAACACTGCGCAACAAAATATTTGTATCAAGTTATTAACAATCTATTTAGGATTTTCATTATTTTATGTGCTGTAATTTAATGACTGTTCGCAATTGAAAAATTGGGTTGAGGCATCTTTAAGTAGAAAGAGTTTCATGCGAAATCTTGAAGTAGCCCATTTTAGTAAAGCTTTTAGATGTTAGAAAGCATAGTAGAGCTCATAGTCTATTGTTTAATTCAAATATCTCAATCAAAACTCATTATTTAAGAGCAATAGATTGAATATATATTGCATCAAGACGACTGAGACTCGTTGTGTGAATGGCTACAACAACTCGACTATTGTTTGCTGATCAAGAATATATATATATATATATTATCCAAGTGGTCTACCTCAAATCGTTACACATTTCGTGATAAAATATAATTATATAGCCCTCTGCCAAGGGTCAATGAAAGGCATATTTGTTACGTGTTCTAATTGGAAAAGTATTGTTTGCCGATCAAGATTATATATAGTTATATATTGTCGAAGTGGTCTACCTTAGATCGTTACACATTTCGTGACGAAATTAAAATACCAAAGCTCTAAGAATAATATTATTATTTCAACGAAAGGGATATTTGTTACGTATTCCAATTGGAAAAGTTTAAACACAGCAACTTGTTGCGCAGTGTTATCAGTAGGCCACACATGCACATGCACATACACACACACATATGCAATTGCAGGGCCTATGCAAGTGTGCGTGTGTGATTCGTTGATCGGGAGTAAATAACTGTTAATAAGTGTGGACATACTCACAGAGATATTATTAAAACTAGGCGTCAGCTGGTAGGCAATGAATGTTTTCATGCCTTTGAATTTGGACTCCTTTTTGGGACTGGCCACAATGACGGAGTAGGGTGAATGATTCTGCGTCCATTGATATATGGAGTCCTCCAGTTGCGTGATATATGCCAGCTCGCATTCGGGTATCTTTTCCTTGTTGCTGGACAGGCCGAGTATATAGGAATCGGAGCTTTTGGCGAACATGCCCTTCTTAATGGTGGCCGCACTGGCACCAGCCGCTGTGGAGCTGAGGGATATGCCATCCTCGCTGGGCGCAACAGGTAGATGCCTGTTGTCGTAGTCGCTGGCGGAATGCGTGAGGCCGCTCGAGCGCGCCGCGGCGCCTGATTTGCCACCTGCTGGCGCTATCTCTGAATATGTTTCGTTGTCCTCGCTGTCCGTCCAAATGCTGTCGTTGTCGTCATCGGCCGTTTGGTCATACCTGGGCGGAGCTGGCATATCAAATGGATCGAGCGGCTGACCAGCAGCTGGGGTACTTGTATCACCGCCGCTGATGAATTGGCGCGCCTCCGCGGCGGACATCACCTCCACGTAAGCCGCTGGAAAGAGCCCAATTTGGCCTCGACTGTTTTTGCCCTCCCACCAACCTTCGCCCACATCGCTCCTTGTTACAGTTAGAATGTCGCCGGTTACGATCGATAGTTCCGATGAGCCTGGCTCACCAGAAAAATCGTACATAGCGCGTACGTAAGATGTCATTTTGGTTATTGCACGATATTAACGCGTTTTTTTTTTATCTAAATCCGCTCCCATAAAGCAATTGAAAAAGCCAGTGTCTGAGTCAGTGTGTGTGACTAGTGTGACCGTTGCGTGTTTTACAGTGTATACGCAATCGCCTATCGATAGGCAAAACGACACACACTTGTTATCGTGCTATCGTTACGAGAGCAACCTTGAGCAGTGAGCACAAAAAAATCTGTCCGTGATTCGTTCGATTGGATTTTTATTAATCATTCGCTTATTGCGCGTTGCCGATTTTGTTGGTAAGTAAAGTGCACAGCTTAATTGCTTATTAAACATATGCAATAAAACAAGCAACTATTTAACTATACATTTGCAATTTGTTGCCATACTATTGTTTATGCTTGCTTATTGTGGTCTTCACCGACTTTTTTTTGACAGCAGAATTGACTAACACGTCAAACGAAACCCCACAGTTCTCGAAAAAATACGAAGAAGTAAACAAGATAAGCGGATCCCGTGCAATTTACCATTAAAAACGTAAAAATGCAGCTGCAGGCCAAATATTTGCTAATATGTCTGTTCGTCGGACTGTTTGCCTCGTACCGTTGTCAAGCGGGTGGCGGAGAAGAAGGTAAGAGTGCCACAACGAATTTCGTTCAGCTATGAGCTTGTGTGCGTGTGTGTGTGTCTGTGTGACTGTGTCGGTTGGTGCCTGCACTGAACAACAAATTTATAAATGCATGTGTATATGTATGACTGTATTGGACTCTTAAATGCCACACTCGTCTGCATATATGTATATATGTGTATATGTGTGTGTATGTATTTAGGTGTGGAGCGTAATTGAAGAAGATTTCAACATAAAGAACTTTCTATTGAGCCAAGTTGAATTACTTTATAACTGTATGTATGTGTGTGCGCGCGTGTGTGTATATTTTTTAGGAACTGGAGTCACCACTACCACTACTGAGGCAGCCACCACTGTAACCGTGCCACCGGCACCCGATGACAAGAATACAACAAGCACCGAGAAGCCGATAACAACAACAACAACAACTACTCCCAATACAACCACGGTAGCACCAACAACAACCACAGTGGAACCAACAACAACAACTTCATCCACGCCGAAACCAACACCGCCGCCCATCACGACAACAACAACTCCAGCTCCAATCACCACGAGCAGCACCACCACGCCGGCACCAAATTCAACCACAACCGTGGCGCCAAGCACAAGCACAACTTCCCAGCCGTCCACAACGACCACGGCTAAACCGACGCCAGTGCCATGCGGACATTTCGATGGCTCCTCGTTTATAGGCGGCATTGTGCTAACTTTGGGTCTGCTGGCCATTGGACTGGTGGCCTACAAATTCTACAAGGCACGCAATGAGCGCAATTACCACACTCTTTGAGCCGCCAATGCTTTTACGTCGGCATTTAATGCAGCAGCCGGTGCAACAGCCGTGAACAATCCCGCCACGGATGCCGAACGTGTGCGATTTGTTCAGCCATTAATTCCGTTGCGTTCGCCGCCAGCGCAACCGCCACCACCACCACCTGCACCAGCACCACCAGTATCAGCATCCTCTACTGATTCTCAATATCAACATCAGCTATTAGCCGGCGAGACAACACACTCAACTATACAAAATAATAATTCACCTTCGGCCAGAGATCGGCTGCTGCACGCGTAATTTAACTCGGGGTACAATTGTAATACAGAAACTATCCAAAGAGCCCCGCGATTAACTCTATGAAAACTAAATCTTCAAATCTATCCTTAGCTCTCCCTCCCAAGCACACACACTCACACGTTTATCCGTTTATCGATGCTGCACTTCTTTGTGTCTGGCTATCATTCTTCCCTTATCAGCTATATATACATATACTTCTATATAATATACATTTCATATGGCTTTTATGAATAACATGAATCACGGATTTTTGCTGCGATTTTTAATCAGCGAACTAAGCGGATGTTCAACGCCTTATTAAATCTGAATGCCCTTCAGCTTGAAGCTCGGCTGCACGGCAAACCAATCCCACAAGGAGAGGAAAATAAAATGAAATATATAATATATATGATATGATATATATAAATGTATATGTATTTATTGGAAATAGTTTATGTACTACAATAACAGCAAATTATGTGAGACTGTCGAAGAAATGTCGCGGTACTGAAGTGTGGCGCGCAGGGCAAAGTAAAATGTAATCTGAAATAATGAAAGCGCAGATATAGATTTTGATTGTATTTACAAAGAAAAAAACTAACAATTTTAATAACTAAAATTCATTTAGAGTAAACAAGAGCTAAAACATAAAGTCGTCAAAACGCGTTTTTCATATTCCGCTTTCAAACAAACAAGCAAAAAAAACACATTTGCATTTTTGAATATATATATACATATTTAATGCTGATTACATTTCTGATATTTGCCACAAGCATTCATACATATATATCTATATATAAATGTCCGTGTCAAAGTTGTTGTCATTATTGCAAGCGCGATGCACAGAATTTTCATAAGAAAAAACCTACAAACGAATGTGTTTGCCTTTTGGGGAGTCCCCCTTCTCAACCTCCGGCTAAACATTCATACAGATATCAGCAGCTCCATTGGAACCAAAAAGGAAGAAAGAAAGATGAATACTGTGAGTTATACATATTTCTTATTATATATGCGAATGTTGAGTATTTTGTATTTGAAACATGAACAACACATATGAATTATCTAGCCCACACTTATTGTTGGACCTACTGGATGGAATCCCCCCCCCTATTATTCCCCTGTGCACAAATTAATCTCATAATTACAACTACATCTACATATATATATATAGGCTTAGTGAACAAACTTATTGTATATCCAGTAAAACTCGAAACGGCTTATTAAAGAAATACCTAAAGCTATGTATGTATTGTATATCCTGTACGATAATAAATATTTTAAAACTTTATTCGCTCTTGTGACGAATTTTAGACGTTATCATATGAAGATGTCGTCAACAGCCTTTCATGTTTTTCAAGATATCCTGACCAAACGCTGCATTTATTAAATTCACAATGCTGAGTACATATAAACTATATCTTAATAACATCGGAGCACTATATTATATAGGAACAATCTGTCGAAAACAGAGTTCTTGTATAAATTTTCAAAATATCTCCAAAAAACTAGTCACAAGTTTAAGCATGCTCCTCGCATACAAGCAATATCTTATTAATATCGGACTACTATATCATATAGCCGTATGGGAATAATCGGAATAATGCCTAAAGCTGCATTTAATCTTCAGCTTGATTTAGATAACTATCCGCTTTTATTTTTAAGACAACTTATTAAGCTCTCACAAATCATCTACATTATTGTTCGTTACAACATGATTTATTTAACATTTTATCAGATCTTATAAAAGATTATTTACTTAGTTACATATTAGTTATACGTTATACTAAATAGTTTTTAGGCCAACTATTCGCTACTCTGCTTGAACGGCTCGCTTCGCTTTCTTGGGCTTGTCCGTTTTTGGCCCTTCGCCGCCAGCTGCTTTACGCTTCAAATCCTTTTTCGATCGCTGCTTCTTCTGCTGCGTATTGAAGCGCAAGTTGAGCTTGGTGCCGCCAATGTTCAGATCCAGCTTGATGGCATTGCGTGCATCCATGGTCGTGGGCAGGGTGACGGTTGCCGCGCTAACGTCGCGGAATTTTCCCTTGCCGGGTTTGACTTGTATGTCAACGGCGTTTTCGAAGAGCTTGCGCACCTGGGCTACGGATGTGGACTTGGGCAGATTGGTGATCACAACGGATGATGTGAACGTGTCCTTGCGCTGCACCTGTTTGCTGGCACGCTTCAGCAGGTTTTTCGTTTTCTTCTTCTCCAGGGATTGCTGCTTGCGCGCCACAAGTTCATTGACAAACTCTTCGGAATCGGTTTTGGGCAGTGACACAAATATGCCCTTAAAGGCGGCATCGCTTTCAATTGATTTTTTGATGTCCTCCAGCGCTGTGTTGCGATCTTCTTTGGATTTGAATTCCACGAGGCAAAAGCGCGCGTGCTTTTGACGGGGCTTCGCTGCCTTCGCTATTAGCGAATGCAGAGATTTAACCTTTGCCTGGAATTCCTGGTCATTTAGGGGTAGCTTCTGTGGGAAGCGTACATATAGACGCGTGCCCTTTAGCTGTTCATATTTGTTGTGTATTTGTTCTTCAATTATTTCGGCTTTCGTTTTGGTCGTAGTCTTCGGATCCGTAGATTCGTCTTCATCCTCTTCTGAATCATCGTCATCGGATTCTGTTGCGCTGCCTGCCAAATCCAATTCGCTTTCATTTTCCGATTCTGCGGATTCGTCTTCAACACTTTCTTCATCGTCAGTTACAGTTTCTTCCGGCCTTTTTGTCATTTTTGATGAAATTAATTTGTTTATATCGTTGCTGTCGCACGTGCTAGAACCAGAGTTGTCACCAGCCGTTGTCGTGTTATCAGCAGGGCTACAGAAAATATCGCACGAGCCAGCTGTTGCATTGCATATCGCAAATGTGCGATAACTCCAGTGAATCGATATATTCGATAAGTTGTGCAGGTGCATTTATTAGAGACAAGTCTTATCTGTCTATCTGTTATTTTTTTGGAAGAAAACATTATACAAAATTTATAATGGCTTTGCTGAATAATATAACGGAATGGTTCACATCTGAAACGTCTAGGAACAAAAATTCAGCCCTGGCGGCAGGATTACTGGTATGTCCAGGTAGAATGCTCGCCTTAATGCGCAATGCCTAATCGTTTGTCCTCCTCCTGTTGCCAGTTCTTCACGGGGTGGTGGATATTAATCGATGCGATGGCTGGAGATTCCCATTTTCAAATAACGACTGGACATGTATTTATAGGCATTTTCGGTACCATCAGCTTCTGCATGATCAACACGGTCAAAGGCGAACATGTAAGCTAACCACTTTAGATGCATATATATATGTTTAAATGTACAAAAGAAAATGAGTCATTGTGATTGTTTTGCAGATTTCTGAAGATAACACATCGGAGTCGGGCGCGAGGATCGCTAAAATATGGTTACTCATTGGCTTTGTGATTGGATTCGCGTCAATTATTGCCGCCATTTGGGTAATGGTCGATGACTTTGTCAACAATGGTAAATGAGAAGCTGAGCTTAAGATTTTGCCATATACTTATTATTTTGTGGCTTGTTTTACAGAGAAAAAGGATACAAGTTTGGGCGTAGCGTTGCTTCTACAAAATGTCTTCATACTGTTTGGCAGCCTGGTGTACAAGTTTGGCAGGAACGAGGAGGATTGGAATGAGTAAAGCGTCGGGATTGTGACGTGCTGCTTTTAGAAAACAATATAAACACACACATAATTGTATTTCATGTAGATTACTCCAAGAATTGTGGCGGTGGTTAAGCTACCCCCATCGTCATTGCAATATGCGTTTAAAAACACAAACAAATAATCTCATTAATATTAAACGACGAGTCACTCGCACACTTTCAAGTGTAGTTTATTGCAGGCACATATCAGGACGCCAACGAGCAGCAGGCCCAATTGACCGCCAAGCCAAAGCTTATCGCTGCGTTGAGCATATCTATAAGTATAATAAATTGTACAATTGACGGAACTTGGCTTAAGCTACTCAGTAAAAAACTATAGAGCATACGCGTCAACGGGACACTCGTTTTCGTTCTGCAGGCACCATTGCGGCTGCAGCGCCTCGGCCCCAATGCCATTCTCCACGAGGCGCTCGCGATGCAGCAGCAAACGCGACTCGGCCTGCCGCCAGCCCTCACTGGGATTCGACCACAAACGTTCGGCCAGAGCGCTGGCGCGTGGCCAGAAACGATTGTCCAAAGTGTACTCATCAATTTGTTCCGACCAAATGGCAGCCTCTGCGCCGAGCACATGATGCTCATAGTCGCCCGCTATTTTGGTCAGATTATTCTGATAGACCTTCTGCCAGCCAATGTAGGGGGAGCACCAGTTGTTGCCATCGGTCACCCAACCGCCGCCGCCGCAGTCCAGGTACAAGGCATCATAGTTGGAAACTATGATCCGATATCCGCGCTTCAGTATCTTCTTGATCACCTTGTCATTGCCCGTCGTCCAGATTTGTATAATATAGCGCAGCGGATTCAAGTAATCATCAATGTAGGGCTCATTGGTGAGCGTGCTCGTCCACAGTATGATCGGTGTGTGCGATCCGTTGGCCACGCGATCCACACGGCTCAGAGCTTCCGTTTGATAGTGGCCCCACAAGCGCATGAAATCCGCCTCGGTCAGCCCCCAGCCACGCTGCGTCATCCAGTTGCGTATGGAGGCGCTGCTGTTCCAGCAAGCCACCGACACCTCGTCGCCGCCCATGTGGAAAACATCCGGATTGTGCAGCTTAAACATATCGCTGAATATATCCTCCAGCACATCGTACATCTCATCGACAGTGGGATCCAGCTGGCCGCACGGCGGCTCCACACAGTACTTATTCCACGGCTGGGCATTGAAGCAGGCGGTCATATTCTTATGTTGCCAGCCCTCGCCCACATGCGCCGGACTGTCGAACTCGGGCATAACACGTATGCCGCGCACGCGTCCATATTCCACCTGAAAGTAGAGCGAAATTAGCTAAGTCGATGAGCTTGGCAGCAGCAGCGGCAGCAGGTGCACTCAACTATATCCTCCACATCGCTGTGGGTGTAGACCTTGCTGGGCGTATAGGCGCCCAGCTTGGCTAGCTCCGGCCGCTTGCTCACCTCCAGGGGAAAGCTATGCGAGTCCGTGATGTGCCAATGGAAGGTGTTCAGCTTGACCATGGCCATGCCATCTGCAAGGAGGATCATGTGAGAAATATGTTGCAGTTCAAATGGTTTCCCACCTACCTAACGTGCGCTTAATAGACTTTACGGAGAAGTAGTTGCGCGACGTGTCCAGCAGCAGACCGCGCCATTTGTAGACGGGCGCATCGCTAATAGAGGCATTTGCCGCCACCTGAATCTCGCGGCGTATATCGTCGTAGACAATCAGCTGATTGAGCGTCTCCAGGCCGTGGCGTGCACCAAAGAAATTGTCAGCTGTTATATTGGCTGTCACCTGACCCGCACTATTCGAGCCAATGTTCAGCTCGTAGCTCTCATCCGTGTCCAGCTGGAGACGCGCGGGAACTCCGTTGTCGGCAGTGTTAAGAACAATGTTCAATTGATAGCCACCCTCTTTGAGGGTCTTGCGATTGGGTATCTTGGCCTCTAGCAAATCCAGCCAACGCTGCTCCGTTGCCTGCCAGAGCTGGTCCTTTTTGTCGACGCCAGCCAAATGAAATTGAATTGATGCAATGTCCACCTGACGCGTTAGCGGCTCCAGCTGCACAGCACCCGTGGGCTTGGGCCACAGTGTGCCAATGTTGCTGCCACAGAAGAGCCTGCAAACTGGCAGGCTAATTGCCCGGGCAAAGTTCTCCTCGCTCAGCTCGACCTTGCGGCAGAGGCCATTGCTGCACTCGTAACCGTATATCAAATCACTGGAAATAAACCAGTTAACATGTAATTAATTTATGCATTATTATAATTATAGTTGCCCTGACTTACTCAGCGCCCAGAGCAGCGCCAGGTGCTGGCGTCCAGCCAAAGGCCAGCAGCACGGCTATTGCCAGTGCTGCATAACCCATTTTTTGTTTTCAACGTTTCTAACACACAGGGAGTGAAACTGCGAACGCGCAGCGAATAGCCAAGTTGATTACAACAAAAAAAAACAGCAAAAAGGGAAAATAAGTAAAACGGGTTTCTCGGTTGCCGTTTATAGTGAAATTTCTTCTTCCTCGCGTGCGTCGCAAACAACCGTTGCAGTGGACTCTTCGGCGTCGACTGACGTATTTGTTTTGTTTCGCGGCCAATTTATCGGTTCGCCAGCACTTAAAATCGATTGCGATTGCTGTTGTTGCCCCCCCCCCCCCACTCTTCATCCTTCCCCACACCTACAAACACACCCACACATACACGAATGTACTGTTATGCGTTGTTATGTCGAGTGGAGATTACATACTTTTGCTTTTAACTATCGTTCTTGTGCGACAAGTCGTATTTTTAAATGCAAAAACCACGGGCCGATATCATTTGGCTCGTAAATCTTAGCGAGAGTTCCATGAGTTTAATAAAATTTAGCGATTTAGCATTATCTTTTGAAGTGCATACTTAACTACACAAAAATACATATGAATTAATTAATCGCATTATCTCATATATAAAATTTTTTCTCCTGACTGACCCTAGGAAAAAATGCCACCTGCGATTTGCTATCTTTTCAAGTGCATATATGCTTTTTCATTCAAAAGGCGACTATACGTTATTTTTTAAGAGCCCCAATAAATTGGGTTGCTTTTAATCTACGTTTTTAACTAAATATTAACTTTGTTGCCTTATCTAAGAACATTAGGAAAGTTGTCTATTATGTGGGGTTCGAGCCCTTTTGCGTTAAGGTGTTGTCCTCGTAAGTTTCCAAAACATCTGCCAAATGCTCGTTGTCTCTGGGCTTTTTGAATTGTCGCTTTTTGTTGGCCGCCTTTTTGCGTTTTGGAACGGGCTTCTTGAGGCCATGATCTTGCATCGAACGTATGCCTGTAATTAAAGGTAAATGCAATAAGTTTGTGTATAAGGCTGGGTTGTATGGATTATTGTGTCACCTTGTTTTTCAAGGTATTCATCGATTTTGGCATCGTCCATGGCATCAACCGTTGCGGAACGCCAAAGCTTCTGAAATTCATCATCCACCTAAAAGAATATTAAACATGAGTAATGCAATACAACAAATAGAAGTGGGAATCTTCGTGCTGCTCACAGAGAAATTTGCGGTTCTATCATTGTAAAACAATATCTTCTTCTTATCTATGGGACGTATGATGAACAGAATTTCGGCAGCGCGGTTTTTCAAGACCTTCTCACAATGCGGCAGCGATTCCTGCACATCCTCCAGCAATATGCCACCGAGACCCTTTAAATCGTGCTGTTTCAGCAGTCGCATCAGGCTTTTGCCATCCTTTATCTTGTACACAGGCTTAAAGCTGAACTTTGTGCCGTCGGGTGCGACATCAATCTTGGGATTGTTATGCAGCGCTTCACCAGAGAGCCACTGCAACGATGAGAAGCAGAGATTAGGGCACTGCAGAGACAAGGTTATGCTTCCATTACATTTTTCACAGATTGTCCAATATCCAACTGATTGGTCTCATCGAGGATCTCTTCAATGCTTAGTGGATGGTCATCGCCATCCTGATGGCGGGTGCGCATAAACTTTACTATTTTGGCCAACACTCCAAAGCGATACTGAGAGCTGCCCGACATCGTTTTGTATCTGCAGGAAGGAGCCATGGTGAGGGGTTTGTGTGACTTCGATGTGAAGCTAAATTGAACTTACGTGGATGCATCAAGTTTTGGGGCTGTTGGTGGTCGCATTTTCTTCTGGGCATCATCTCTGCTTGGTGGTGGAGGTGCTTTTTCTGTTCTGTTTTTCTTCTCCACGCTGCGAATACAAAAACCAATTTTAAAAGTATTCTAACCGCGTGCTGGGTAGGACACTTACGTGGGCGTTGCCATGGCCCGTTTTTTGAACGCCTCGCGTTCGCGTAGTAGGGCGGGATCCATTTTTGTTTAGATATTATTAAACCGAACTTTAGAAGTAATATTTTTTTACACAGTTTACAAAAACCCAAAAAACACTGCAACTGTCAGCGTCTCAGAACGAACAGCTGTTGAGTGACTTTTTAGGGCTACCCAATAGGATTTATCGGTATTATCGGTTTGCTCCGATCGAGTAACCGCTCAATCGATACTTCCAGGTCGATAGATCCTAATCGTAGTTTGCGCGCCAAGTATCGATTTCAAAAAACTTATCGGATCACTCTAGTCGGGCAGCTGTCAAAATAAAATAAGAAACAGCCATTTATATATTTATTTATTCCATTTATTAATATCGCTTTTAGGGCTTTACATAAAGTTGTATTTTAATTTTATTAGGTCATAATTGATTGGATTTCTGTGCGAAAATCTACAATCCGTAAGTTTTGCATTTTATAATGTATATATATATATATTCTTATCTTTGTCGGAATACGTTAGTAAATTGTACAAAGAGTTCGTTTATGTATATAGTTGCTTGGTTTTGAGTAACGGTAATGCGATTAATACGATAGTCCCGTTAGTGGTTGGTTTTAACAATCATTGCAGTTTCGTTGGCTCCGTTTATGTCTGGTCTATTTATATATATATAAATATCTATATCATTTGGGTACTCAGTACTACAGCGCACTTGAACAGGTCAATTGTACGGTTGGTTGGTTGGTTGGTTGGTTGTTATTTTCTTGTTTCCGTATTCCGTGTCTGTTTCGCTCTGTGTGGTTCTGGTTCTGGTACTGGTTGATTCCGTAGTGTTTTATGGGCGGTTCTTGCGTCAGTTGAACTGTTTATAATTGAACTGTTTTTATATTTTTTCTTGTTATTTTGAAAGTTAACTACTCGTACATAATGTTCTCTGTTAAGTACAATGTTGTCAGTGGGTCTGTGGAAATAGAAAGATAAAAATTGTTTTGCTTATTATGTACGTGGTCGATGGCAGGATCGTCAAATCGATGAATGCGCGTTGAGTTTAGTACAGAGATCGGTAGTAACTAATTGTAATAGAGCAGTCTGAACATATATAGTGTGGTTTGGTATACATGCTATCACTTTTCGATTTAACACTAACAATTAAAAACTTACCTCAGACCAGGTGGATACTCCAACTATGGCTACATTAATGCATACAGATACACAGAATCGATAATAGATTATCATACTTACACTCAATTGCGGCGCAGTCGCTTTCTGCCGCTATCATCACCATCTGAGCCGCTTCGCTCCTCAGCTTCCATGACCTACACAACAAATTTCCAATTGTTTATAATTTGACATTCTATTTTGGATATTTCAAAGGCATACCTTTATTTTGGTTCCACAGATTTCTGCACCATTTAAAACACCAATAGCCTTTTGGGCACTCTCGCGTTCCGAGTATTTGACGTATCCACAGTTCTTGTTTGGTAGCAAATACACATCAATTAGCCCCTTCCAGCAGGAGAATATATTTTTCAGTATTGAGTGGGGCAGATTCTAAAATTGTATGCAAAACAAATGAGCATCGGGCGGTCTCGAAATGGCATACAGATTTTATTAACCCACCGCTGAAAGTACAATGAAGAGACGCTGGGCAACCTGTGCATCCGGCGATGCCAATGGCTGCGTTGGCGGCAACGGCACATTGCAAATGGCATCCTTTTTGGTGCGCTCTGAAATGGCAGCAGGTTAAGACAGGCAAACTAATATCTCAACAATCATTTCTTACTGTCAATGAAAGATGTGTCCATACGAGCTGAGCTCATGCCGTTAACCTTAACAATTATGCGCTCGCCCATGGGATATTCGAGGCCATGCAGCTTGTCTCTATGGAAATAGAATACGCATATTTTAAAAGTAAATTAATGTTAATATAAAACGTGTGTTACTTGGCATAAATTGCAGCTTCGGGATTATCGTATACAACAACAGCCTCATTTGTGCGAGGACCATCTAAAATTTAAAGTTGTAACACACAGAAATTCTAGAATATTATAATCGTAGCTTACGTTCCCGCATAATTTGACAGTAGTCCAGACCGGGTATTATGTCAAATAGGCGCCACAGCTGATCCTGATTAACGCAATTGCTGACCGTCACTTCCAAGCATGTGGGCTGTGGCACAGGCACATTTTGCATGCGCAGAAATGCGGACATGTCGCTGTTGACTGACGCATTCCAATCGTTGTTGAAGCTGCCAGCACCACTTCCACTGCCGCCGCCGCCGCCACCATTATAGGTGGAGCTGCTCCCGCCACGTCCCGAAGGGTATACGGGACTGTCATCAGCGAGGCGTCCATACTGATCCCGTTGTGTGCGCGTCGAGCCCTTGGGTTCGGCAAACACCGCCTTGTATTTGGCTGAACAGTTTTCAAATGCCACAGCAGCATAGTAGAACCTAAAAGAACGGCATTATTATTACTGTTTTTAATTTGTAGAAAAAATATATATATACGTAAATGTGTTGAATTCTAGTTAGCGCGTCCCGTGTTTAGACGCATGATACAATTTGAAATTTAAAAACATAACGGACTTAATAAGTTGGTGTTATTTGTGACGTTCGTGCTTTCATATTGTGTTCAGTGCTGTGAACTGCAATTTACAATAAACTGGGTAAGTTAGCACTTGTCATGAATATGCAAAAAAATTGCTAACTCCTTTAAATGTTTCTCCGTTAAACTGTTTCTCCGCACATTCCCGCACTTCGCAACATTGTTTCGTGTTCGTGTTGTGTAGTAGTTCTCTATCAAAATGTAATACATACTTTGTAAAGCGAACGTAGCCAAAACCCTTGGGGCTACCATTGTTCTTCTCCCGGACAATGGTCACGTTCTCTACCTCACCCCATTGGGCAAATTCATCGCGTATGTCATCCTCAGTGGCGGTCTTTGGAATCACAATAAATAATCGCACATATTTCTCCTGTTCATTCTCTGACTTGTTCGAACCCTGATTACGACTGCAAAATGTTGACAAAGAGAAATTAAAATTTTCTGCTGACCTCAGCCAGATATTATGCCAGGTCACTTACTTTGCGGCAACCAGCACCTTTAGGGTTCTGTCAGTTTTTCCAATGGTCTTTCCGTTCATCTGCTCCTGTGCCTTGGCGGCATCCGAGGTTTTTGAGAACTTTACGTAGGCGATGCCTTTATTTTCCTGTGTATGCTTATCCTTAACTACCCATATATCTTCAATCTCGCCGTAGGGTGCGAAAGCCTCGCGAAAATCTTCTTCGGTGTGTGCTTTGTTACATATTATGAACAGCCGCGACATGGGTGGGTCGTCGTCATTCGAATAATCTTGGCCGCGTCCACCGCCACGGGATTGAGAGCGATAATCCGACATATTTCTTTTATAAATCAAATTAAATTTTCCTACACTTCTACTTTTTCGCGTTTTTGTTTTGCTGGCCAGACGCCGAATACAAAATGGCAGAATACTCAGAGAAGTATTTGTGTATACTACTAAATAAATAATCGAACGGACTTATCGATTTGCACCGGTGATTTCTTTTATTTTTTAGTTAAGAATTTCGTCTTTTTCCAACACTGTTGTCTTGCAAATGTTTTTGTCTGAAATTTTAGGTAGGCGAGCAGATGCTCTGTTGATCCAGGATTACCTGCTGCGCAGCCGTTACGTTTTGCACCAATTTGTTACTACCTGGGTAGAATTTCCACATAAAAGCGACCCACTGGTAACAATGCTGTTAGTCGCCATAAGACGTTCAAAATGAAATCAATGGAAAGATTTGTCGTGCGGATGCTGGCGATGCTGATATACATCCAGCTTATACGTGGCGATATGGCTAAGATGTCCAAAAAGTCGCATGTGGAGGACTTTGAGGGCGTAACAGCGTTATTCGAGGCCCTAACATCGTCGCCAAACGACGGTTACACGTATGACTGGCGTGTGCACACCTTTTCAATAAGCAGCAACAACATTGACGAGGAGCATGTGATGCGCAATTGTACGGTTTTGTATCTGGATCAGTGCACATCTTGGAATAAGTGTAGACAAACTTGCCAAAAGACGGGTGCAGCCAGCTACAGGTGGTTTCATGACGGATGCTGCGAATGTGTTGGTGGGCATTGTTTGGGCTACGGCATAAATGAGAGCCGTTGTAGCAACTGCCCCGAACCTGGATGTGATAGTGACGATTGAAAACAGATTATACATACATATATTTGTATATATATATAATTATTATTATTAAGTTAAGTTTATTGTTCTGTTAAACAAGCAAAATAAAGGGGTTCTGCAGGGTTACAATAAACGAAAATGTTTTGTGTTTGACGGCTCGATAATATTCGCTAATCGATATATCGGGCTGTCGCACATCTCTATTTCATTTCAACTCCACGTTGTTTGGGTCGGTGGACAATTTTAAACTGTGAGATACGATAAAATAACACAAATGGGTCGCAAATTCCAAAAGAAAAAGAAGGTTGAGCAGCTGGAGATTGTGCCGCTAGATGAGAATCCACCGCTACCCTCTCAAAGACCATCAGATGAGGCTGTTCCAAAGAAGGTAAGCACCTGTGACGGCAACACAAAAAGCAGCATTTATCAACCACATTTTTTCTTATATGTACAGGAAAAATGGATAAATAAACAGCGAGTCTTGGTGTTTGCGGCACGTGGTATAAGCCATCGCGACAGACATCTCATGCGTGACATCAAAACTCTGATGCCGCATCATCGTCCCGAATCGAAAATGGAACGCTCCAAGACGTTGGCTGTGGTCAATGAGATGTGCGAAATGAAACACTGCAACAAGGCCATGTTGTTCGAGGGTCGCCGCAAACGAGATTTGTACATGTGGTTGTCCAACACGGTCGGCGCCACCGGACCGTCAGCCAAATATCTCATTGAGAACATTCACACGATGGCGGAGTTGAAGCTTACAGGCAATTGCTTGCGCGGCTCACGACCGTTGCTCTCATTCGATGCTAAATTCGATGAGCTGCCCCACCTGAAACTGCTCAAAGAGCTTTTTGTGCAGACATTTGCAGTGCCCAACCATCATCCAAAAAGCCAGCCGTTCATTGATCATGTTTACACATTCACCTACCTGGATAATCGCATCTGGTTTAGGAATTTCCAAATTCTATCCGAAGATGGTGGCCTCTCGGAGGTGGGTCCACGCTATGTGATGAATCCAGTAAAGATTTTCGATGGCTCGTTTACGGGCAAAACCATTTGGGAAAATCCCGATTACGTTAGTCCCTCCAAGCAGAGACAGATGCTTAAGAAGGCCGCCAAGGACAGATATGTGAATCGCGTTGAGCAGAAGGTGCAGCAGGAGGCAACGCGTCCAGTTAAGGCATACGAAGGCCTCGACAATGAGGAGCTGTTCGAAGATGAGGATCCACTAGAAACGGCCCGACTGCTAGCGCTCAAGGCTAAAAAGAAGGCGGAGCAAAAGAAAACGCCCAAAGCGGCGCTCACCAAACGGATTAAGGATAAACAAATGCAGGTCGTAAAGCAGGTGATCGAGCAGCGCAAGGCACGGGTAAAACGTGTGAAAAAAGTTTAAAATGTTTTATTTCGCGTTACATTTACGAATAAATACAAATACATAAATACATATAAAAATGAATACATATAATAAATACGTTTACAATTGTGCGTTTGCCTCAGATTTGTCCAGTGCTGAATATAATGTTAAAAATATCTGGCATAAGCAGGATTCCTAGTCCTTATCTTTGACCTCTTAATTATCCAAGTTCAGCACTGGGCATCTTTATGTTTGTCAATATATATATAAGTTACTACTATATGCTTTTTTCACTACGTTTTGTACGTTGAGTTACATATTTTGTTCACTCGGAGGGCACGCGGGCAGAGTCCAACACCTGACATATTGGATCGTTATGAGTTTCTTAGTTTTCATGGGAGCACGGATTAGATATATATGTATATATAGAAGAGTAAGCGTCTTTTTTAGCTGGAATATTACTCCGCCATTGGGGAGACTTCGGCATCGTTGGTTGGCGGCAATCGCGTAATGCTAAACGGCTGTTTATTGATGGGCATCATCTCGACCACCTGTATGGGCGGCTCCTCGCCGGGCTGCAGCGGCTCCTCGCCAACCAGTTTGGCCAAATTACTTTGAGCCCAGCGGCCGGCGCGTCCATTAATGGTCTTGTCCTCACAAACGCACAGGAACAGAGTATCGACCACCATCTAAAAGCGATTTGGGAGATAATTAGCATTTGGTAAATTTAACAAAAAAAATAGCAGGCGACAAACCTCGAAGAGTGAGAGCACAATGTGTGCTATGAAGAAAGCGAAGATAATAATCAAGATGACGGGCGCCATGTAGAAATTCAAGCCAGGCCTGTCCTTCAGCATAAAGATGCCCAGGAGACCCGAGAGGGCGGCAACCACAACTTTGCCCAGGAACAAAATAAAGTCGCCGATGCTGTTAATTGTCGCCACTTGCAGCACGTTGGTAGCCATGGCATTCCAGGCCTGAAAGATGAGAGAATATATATTTAAATACAATTGATATATGTAGTAAATTATAAAGCACATACAATGCCAGCAGCTGGGCAAAAGTTAATGGACTCAATGGCCACCACAGTGTAGGCGTTGTGATTAAGGAAGCGTATAAACTTCTCCAGCAGCCAGAAGCCGCAGATGCAGCACTTCAGGCAGCAGGCGGCGCACTCAGAGCCCTTGTCCTCGCCCTTCTTGAGCCTGTCGAGAACATTTTATTGTTAATTAAAAAATCAAGACAAATGGCAATAATAAAACTCACTTGGCATACAGATAGGTCAGGATGAGTCGTGGTATTTTGAATATTGTTATAACAAAGGAGCCCTTAGCCACAGTGCCCAGGTGATATTTAATCAGTTTGCCAATTGCATAAATTGTTGGCGTCGTCGTCGGCTTGCCGAAGTACCAAAAGGCCACCGCGGCGGCCAGCGCGAATTGCTGGCAGGCAAAGATAAACTCAACTGTCCAAATCAGTCCGACCACATAGATCCAGAACATGCTGCGCAAAGTACTCGCATCCGCATACTCTATACGCGTAATGGCTGTGTCAGGTGAGGAGAATCAATAATTAGATAATTTTACAAAAAATTATTCGCAATATACCTGCAAAAGCGTTTATATACGCAAGTCATATAATACACAAGTAGGATTAATTTTTATATATATGTGTGTAATTGTATGTGTGTGTCTGTGTGTGGGCGTGTGTGTGTTAGTGTATGCATGTATGTATGTCAGCATTTATGTATATATGTATGCATGCATGCTTGTTTTCTAATACAAAATGCAGACCAAGCTTAGTTGACGCTGTTCTGCAAATTTAAATAAAACGAATTTCTGCCAAGTGCTCTCCTCCTCGATTCTCAAGAATTCAAGTAGGCTCAGCAGTTTTTCATGGCTTTCTAGCTTTTTTTTTGGTGGTTTTTATTTTGGTGGTTTTTTTTTTGGTGGTTTTTTTTTGGTGGTTTTTTTTTTGGTGGTTTTTTTTTTGGTGGTTTTTTTTTTGGTAGTTTTTTTTTTTTGTTTTTCTTTGTGTTTTCTTGTATGTGTGTACATATGTATGTATGTATGTATGTATGTATGTATGTATGTATGTATGTATGTATGTATGTATGTATGTATGTATGTATGTATGTATGTATGTATGTATGTATGTATGTATGTATGTATGTATGTATGTATGTATGTATGTATGTATGTATGTATGTATGTATGTATGTATGTATGTATGTATGTATGTATGTATGTATGTAAGTATGTATGTAAGTATGTATGTATGTACATATGTGTGTGTATATGTATGTATGCATGTACATATGTGTGTGTATATGTATGTATGTGTGTGTATATGTACTTATGTATGTATGTATGTATGTACATATGTGTGAGTATGTATGTATGTATGCAAGTTTGTTTTAATATATGTATATATAAAAACATGCAGCATTCATACACACAAACATATATGCATGCATCCATATATTTATATATGCAAAAATGCATGTATATATGTGTGTGTATGTACATATGCATGTGCGCCAATCGGAGATAGCTGAACGTGCACCTTCTTCATATAAGGTAAGACAAACAGTTTTTTATATAGAGATAAAGTATTTTATACACAGAAAAAGGCAAACTTCGGCATGCCGAAGACTTAATACCCTTGCATCTGGGACTGAAGCATATTTTAGACAATTAGATATGTTAGTGTATGTACAAAGAGTTTAAAGTAAAGAAAAAGAATTCCGAATTGGGTGATTAGATTAGGATGAAGGATGATTTATCACTTACACATTAACATAACCAGTGTTTTTTTTTTATCAACCAAAAATTAAAAAAATATATATTCAGGATTAATAATTGAAGTAAGTCCTGGGCAAACGCATCACAGTTAATAAATATTAAGTCTGACAGAGCTATTAGGTGTAAAAGTTAGGCTCTGCAAGCTTTCCCAGCATATTTAATGCTCGCTTAAGTTAGCAAGGTGCTGTCATAGTTTAGTTTGAGATTTAAGACTGGTTGCTTACTTCTCTCATCGCCTCCGGGAGCTGTCTGATTGAGCAACATCGCCGCCGCATTGGCCGGCAGCGTCGGATGCACGGCATTGCTGTGAAACGGTGCGATGGGGCTCTGATCAGGCGTGGTGGCGGTCACAAGACAAATGACGACGACAACCCAAAAGGCCAAGAATGCAATTAGCACCAGAAATGCCAAAAGGGGAGCAATTAGCAGGCCCGGCAAATTCATCATGCAGACGCCAGCCTCCTCGAAGAGCGCAGCCAAGCCGGAAAGTTTGTTTTTAAGGAAATAGATGACGACCAGCAGAATCACCTGCAATGCCATATAAATATATATTAATATGCATGTAATAATTGGGCCATTTTATCGAGGACTCACCATGGTGATGGTGGCCAGAACGGCGAGCGTGAGCACGGCTTGCTGATTGCGCAGGAACTCCTCCAGCTGTGAGTATTGCGTGTTGCCCGTCTTATTGCGTATGCCATAGTAGGCATACCAGAGCGCGCCAGTCAGTCCAACGCTGGCCACAATTACCAGCACGCAAATCAGCCAGGACACAATGCGGGACAGCCAGTGCATCATGGTCACCAAAGCAATCGAGATGACTGCGCAAAGATAACATTAATTCATATTAAACCAGAAAT